CCCCATCAACATCAGATGACAAATCATGATAATATTTGACAAGTTGCGTGGTGCAAGATAAGCCTTTACGGAAACCGTGCTGTTCTTTAGATAATAGATTGTTTTTTGTCATGTGATTTATTATTTCAGTATATAAATATGTTCTATAGCCTTGCATGAGATGGAGGTTAATGAACTAGGCCTGTAGTTTTCGAAATCTTTCCAGGAACCATCTTTGTGAATGGGAACTACGTGAGCGGTCTTCCAGTCGTTTGGCAAAAGACCCCCAGAAAGTGACTTCGCATAAATTAAATAAAGATAGAGCGAAATCGGATGAGCACACGAGGAGATATGTCATATGGGACATTTGCCTTAGTTAATTTCGTCGATGCTGTTTAGTAGAACTTCAATACCACTCACGCTTAGTTCTACTGGCTGCATTATTGGGACAGTGCTCACGGGTGAAAAACAATTACGGTTGTATTTGGGTAAGAAAACAGATTGAAAGTAATTATTTAGACACGAAGCTTTTTCTGCATCATCTACAATTACCTGCTGATTATAGGTAATTTCGTTTATTCCTGCAAAATTGGTGCCGCATCCCTTTAAGTATTGCCAAAACATTTTAGAATTTGTTTTCATCCTATTATTGAGTCTACAAAAATAATTTTCCTTTATGCTCAACTTGCATTCCCGAGTTACCTCAGCAAGTTTCTCTAAGTGATTATTACTTTCGGTTTTTTTTTTTTTAATCTATCAAATGCTCGCCTACGTTTTTTAATTATTCCAAAGACACGTAAAGTCACCCATGTTTGTTTTGTGTTTTTTTTTCGTTTTTTAAGCATTGTTGAATCTATGCTTGGGATATACTTATTCGCAAGTTCAAGTAAATTCTTTTTAAAAAAAAACGACCATAATGCGTGCACATTATAATCCTCAGACAGACACTCAAAAACACGTAAGTGGTCAAAAAGTTCACTGGAAATACTATAGTAATTACTTTTCTCAAGGAAAAAAACTCTTCTTGATGCACACGACTTCAACCGATTAGTTTTAGTGTTTATGCCTGCAACGACCGCGAGATGATCACTAATACCTGGAATGACGTCTACCGTACTAACGAGATTTGGTGAGCAACAAAAAAAGAGGTCTAGAATAGTATCATCCCGAGTTGGCTCCTTCACGTACTGTAACAATCCGAAAATGTCCGCTATGCTTTTCATTTCAAGGTTGACGCGGCTATTAACCTTGTTTACACAAGTGCCGTCTTGCCAGTCTAGGTCTGGCAAGTTAAAATATCCCGCTAGCAAAATACTTTGGCCAGAGGCCTCGGAGACAATATCGTACAGTAGCTGCAATGTGCCAGAATCCGAGTTTGGTGGTCAGTAAAACGTCCCAACAACACACGAAGAATGATCAGTTAAAGTGGCTGTGCACCAGATTGACTCGACGGCGTCGTGACCAAGATCGAGTACAGATGACGTTAGTGAAGAATGAATTAGCAGCGTTAGTAGAATGAATAGTGATAGATGACGCTACCTCCTTATCGAGATTATAGTTAGCAAGAGTTGTGCGTTCTTCCCCGTAGCGCCGTCTTTCCTGCACGGCATTTGGAGCCTGCTCCTCATATGACTGGATTCGGCGAATATCGGCGCCACCGCCACGCTCAAAGGCAGGGGAACGTACGCCGCGGCGCGTGCAACGTCTACTTTCCTGCACGACATTTCAGTCTGCTCTTCACGTGATCGGATCTCGGCGAATAGTGGCGCGGCGGCACGTGGCAAACAAACGCGCAACTCTGGCTCTAATCGAGACTGCTCGAGCGCAACAACCGTGGTCTGTTAAAATGAACATAATCTTTTTGTAATGCACCTTTGGTTTAAAAATAAATGCGGAGAATGAAGGCAAAACTTGAACTAAAATTACGCGGTTGCATAACGACTGCGCTCTAGCGCAGCCGACGGAATTCGTCAGCGCGTCGTCTGCTTTCTTTCGCTGGTCGGCTAGACCTTTCGACGGCTTTATTCCTACACTGCCACCGACGCCAGCTGTCAATATGTGCATCAAACGCACCCCGCCACTCGATTAGGTCGTTGGCGTCGACCCTGACAAGTTTTTTTCTTTTTCCTAGTTTTTGCATTTAGAAAGCTACGCTTTGTAATTTTAAAAGGTAAACCCAGACCTGTGAAATACACCTTTGAAGAAACCATTGATGCGATTGGCCTATGCCATTTTGGAACACTTTCGAAGCAGCCAAAACACTGTTTTGGAGCAGAAAATGTGGCGTTTGGAGCAGCCAAAAGCAGTGTTTGGGAGCAGCAAAAGTGGCTTTTGAAGCAGATATTCTTAGAAATATAAAAATATTTGTTCTAAGTGACGTACAAAAAAAAAAAAAAAAAAAAAAAAAAAAGGCATTTTGTGTTGTGTTGTATTCTGATGTGACGTGTTGTGACGGAACTCGCTGCTTGTGTTTTTACTGCTGAGACAAGTGTACAATGCTGTAGGCATTGCCGAGCAATTCCGAAAATCCGCTTGCCATCGTTTTACTGATTCCCGACGTGCCAGATTTTCGTCGCAAGTAAGCGAACGTAGAACAATCGATTGCAAGCGTCCCGGCTGGTGCCTCTGTCGTGCAATCATGTTCGCATGCACTTGAGGGCAACCTCAGCAGGTTCGCAGTTGTGCATGCATGCTTCGTCCGGAGATGACGGCTGTTCGATCGAAACCGAAACCATACCAGTCCACTCCATCGTCAACTGATTCCCAAAACTGTCCCGCATTGAGGGCTCGTGTCCCGCGTCGCGCAAGGAATTCCCAAATCTTTAAAACGTCCCGTATTTCATACTGTCGTAAGATTCACTCCGCAACTCATGGTGCTGCAGAACAACGGGGCACGGGGAAGCGCGGAGGTCGCTGTTAACCGTGTGAATCGCAATGGTACCCAAGCATTGCGGTAAACGACCGTTTTGCATGAGAACCGACACGTATGCTCTGTTGTGCCTCTCCCTCTCCCCTTGGTGCCAAACTATTAAAAAACAAATTGCTTTAAATATAGGATATTGTTAATATTTTCAAGTCAGTTACTGCGAAATGGTTGCTGTGGACTTTTGTTTTTGGTGAAGACAGCCACAAAAAGCCTGCAACTCACAATGGTCGAAAAAGAACATAATGTTAAAAAAGTGTATAGGACCATGTTGACAAAAGCAAGAGTTGACAGGAAACAATAACCCAAAAAGATTCACTGTTTCCTTTTTCCATTTGATGCTCCAAGTTCTGCTGCAGTTGCTTTTTATGCTTTCAACTTCGACACATTTCGTACCATATTTTGCATAAAAAATATCACTGGGAGCGAAAATTATTTTAGTCTAATTGATGGAATACGTTTTGCAGGTGTATAAACTGCAAAGGATATTGGATATGTTAACAGAGCCTCGGTTCATGGCGTGCGTGTTCATAAACTTCCTCTAACCCCCATAAACTCACCCGGGGAACGACGCGCGAAGCGGCGTGTTGTCCGTCGGCACTCCCGTCGAAAAAGGTGAAATAAAGACACAACTACTATATATGTACAAGAAATATCACGCGCAGAAGAGAATAGGAACACTTAGAAGCAATAAAAAATACACTGGAATAGATAAAATAGGTAATGGAATCGAAAAACAGGAATAATGCGGTCTCAAAGCAGAGCGGCCAGGCAAGGGACAGTCTCCCCCACAATTCATCGCGCGCGGGCCGGGCGCTTGGGAAAATTGCAAATCGTCTCGCCTGCTTATTCGCCCGGTTGACGCGAAACGTGCGAATCACCTGGCAATCAAGTCGTAAATCTAGTAAGACGGTGACACTTCAGCTTAAAAAAAAAAAAAGAGGCATACACGTGCCATGACTTGCATGTTTAATTTTGCGGACCGAAATGCACATAATCGATAATGCGCTTCTTAGCGGGCGATTTTAAATTTGTACACAATTCTTAGTAAAAAATTCGCCTGAATTTGCCGGGCCATTTGTCCGACAATTTAAGAAGTTATGAACATTTCTGCTTTTCTTTGGAGCAGACGTCGCAATGTGACAAACTTCTTTGCCATGTATTCGATGCAGGAGGAGCTAAGCGTCAGTTTCTGATAAGCATTTGCTCGTCAGCAACTGTCAAGCCACACTTGGATAGAAGCGTCAGTATCGGCAAGCTCAATGTAGCAAAGACAAGTGGGCGGCGCTTTGCAACACAACTGTGCGTGCGTGCACAGCTAAGATAACAGCACGTCATTTACTCTGGTCAATGCAAAGCTTTTTTCAACAAAACTCTCCCGATCCGAAAAAAAAAAAAAAAAAAAAAAAGAATCCGAGAAGCTGTGAAAAACCCCGACGCACGCTGTGCAAGCTCCAGACTTGTTTTTGAACATTTGATTCTTTTTTTTTTTCTTTTTAATATGAAAAGAAATTTTAAGGCGCTGTTATTCATTAGGAAGATAACTCACAAAAACATTGTACCGTTTCTTAAAATAAATCGTTTCCAATAAGCATAGACGCGAAGTACCAAAGCCACTCTGTGCTTTGAAAAAGCACATCGTCCGCTTGCATCCTAAAAGCTCCGTCACAGGAAAGCACCCGCAAGGCGGCGCCACCAAAACATCTTGGTCACCATATTTACGAGAGTGAAATGCGGGACAGTTTGAACATATTTGCATTTCTTGCAGGATGTGGGACAATAGCCCTCAATACGGGACAGTCACGCGAGTCGCGGGACGGGTGGTCACCCCAATTGAAAATATGCACACCGAATCTTTCTACAACTGACTGATTTGGTGGGTTTTGATGGCATTCTGCAAGTTTTTAATTGAAACCAACACAGACGATTAGACCGCAATACTATGTCCCCCTGGCCGTACAACTCGCCTGCACAGGCTAAGTTTTATAGCTTTCACGACTTTTTCAAAAAACCTCTCAGAGCATAAAAAAAAATCACAATATAGTGGTTTTCAGATGAAGCAACAGTATGGTCACTAAAAAATAAACACGCAACAAAGCACTGCAAAGAGTTTTTTTTTAATCGTTTTGTCACTGGCATTTTTACACGGTTCAGAATGTTCTGTACACTTCACCACCTGTGCACCGTCCCTTTTGACTCCAAAATTTAACTCCTCCTTCCTCGACAGTATGAAAAAGAAGTTCCAAACCCCTTAGCCATCTTCAGAACACATTCCTTCTGCAACAAAGCAGCAAAAATGTGAAGTATGCAATGAAAAACCATGCTGTGCGTCAACTTTAAAAATCCCAGGGCTGTTTAAGCATGTTGCCCTCCGAGGCAAAGGCGAGAAAGGCAGATGGGCAGAAAAAGTATGTGCCCAGGAAACAACTTGCATCTACCCCAAATACCCGGAAAAAATACGGATGGCACTATGACGGAAGGTTGTGACGAGGACATTGCAAAGCAGACATGCCGAGACTAATTTTGTGCGACCTGCAACCTCCCAATTATAGTCTATCTCGCTAGTTGCGTGCAGTACTGTCGAAACAAACGGGCGGAAGGAGGAGGAAAGCCGCTCATGTAAGGATTTTAAGTGACGGGCTAATCTCCGAGGGGGAGAACAGCACTGTCTGGGATACACAAAATATGGTGGACCGGGTAAGATGGGAGTTCCTCTCCTCCCCAACTGCTTGGGTTATGCTCTCGCCCCTGCACCTTTGGTAACCCTGTGCACAACTAGCGAGATGAAGGATGTCACAAAATTTTGTTCAACCTCAAGGTTCGACTAATACGCCAAACCTTCCAACCTTTGTTGAAACTCGACGAAGTTAGACTCTCCCAAACTGTTGCTCAACTTATACGCAAAAAGTAAAAAAAATTTTACAGAAAAGTAATTGATCTTTCAGTTTATCGACAGAAATTGTGATTTCCCAAGCTAGAAACGTTAGAGAGCCTGCGCACCAGTTTGCTGTAAATCTCAGAAAACGATTAGCAACAATTATGTAAGAACAGAAACATAACGTAACTTTTCACGGTTTAGCTTTTTCTCAATTTCCGCGCGTGCGCGTAATAGTCAAACTTCGGTCGAACTTTGCGTTAAGAGCTAGAAAAAGTCGAACCTGGGGCTCCGAGTTGGACGCTCGGAGAGACAGCCGGCGACGTTGCTGACCGCAGCGATTGGCCAGCGCCAAGCATGACTTTGGCGCCGACCAATTGCCGCGTGCCACTGGCCAATTGTGGCAGTCAGCAAGTTCGTGACACCCACCCCTTCCAACAAATCGCATAATGGAAGCCTCGCCACCAGGCATTGCCTCTCTGTTTTCCCGTCCCTTCCTTCCACAGCGAGGTTTAGAAAGGAAGGCGACATTTTGCTGAGTGGCGGTCTTCTGCACGTGGATGTCTCGTTCTGCCTGTACAGGGGTGACGGTCGAGCGCGTTCGACGAAACATCCTATGCTGCGTCCGAGTCTTCGGCCGCCTCTTCTTCTTCCGCGGAGTCCTCCTCGCCCGTGCCTTCCACTTCTTCGCTCGCTTCGCTTCTGTCCTCCTCCCACATCTCCCACATGTTCTGCAAAGGAAAAGAATGAGACGCCACGTGACTGGGACCTTTTGCCTACGGACCACAATCGGGCAGTTCCAAGTTGCCTCAAAGCCGCGGTTACACTGCTAAAACCTTCGAACGTGCACGGGCATCCCGACAACTGCTGCTGCCGAATCAACCGAGGACGGGGCTAACTTACCTGTACTTCTGGAGATCCACGGCCGTCCTGGTCCATGTCCTCGTCGTCCGACGACTCTGCATTGATGGGATAATAGGCGTCAGCACACATCCACTCATTGGTACCTTCGACAGCACAACGGGTCACGCTGCAATAGTACTCCGGTACAATGCCGAGATTGCGTCTTTGACCGGTGTTTGACGCTGTCACGATAACGGCGGACAATTGTTAAGGGCGGTCCAAACCAGCACGCAAAACGTCATCCGGGACAATCCGTGGAACGGAACCCATTTTATAACTTCACCAGGCAGCAACGGGTGGATCTATGCGAATGCGTCTGGACGATTTAGAGAGACAGTTAGCGCACAGGCATGGGGCGAATGGGAGGGGGTGGTTGAGCGTGAGGGAAAAACATATATTAGTTGCGAAGAGTGGAAGGGAGAAAAGGCCCCCTTGTAGGATTTTTGAGTGGCTTCGAGAAAGAGAATATAACAAAAGCAACTGCTTCTTAAGCCTCCCTTTGTCCTTTTGTAGGGTTCCTGAAAATGAATAAATGCACCCCCCCAACCTCCTACCCCGCACAAGGTTCGTGAGGAGGGTAAGGAGGGTGGGTGGACCGCCTTCCCCCAATTAGCTACTTCAAAAATCCGGCGTTAAGCAAAAAGAAAAATACAGTCGACACTCATTAATTCAAACTTGCAGATAATTCAAACTAACATGCAGGTCCCATCCTATGCGTCTCTATGGGAGGAAACTCCCGGTAATTTGAACTTCACTTATTCAAACAAATTTTCGGTCCCCGTTAACTCTTTCAGTACTGCGCCATAGGAAATCGGACACGGAGTTACGATGACTTTCAAAGCGTCTGGAAAAATACAAATTGGCGCATGAGAGACAGGCAGCGCCACCTAGTTTGCTTATAGACATCTACTCTATCAGTTTCGGTTTGGTTTTCCATCTTCTGACGTGAGGCGGCGCTGTAAAAAACGAAACTGTAACCGAAAGTAACAGCGTAGTCTGGAGCCAAGGCACCGCGGTCGCCGCTCACACCGCATAAGCGTAAGGCTGTAGCAACCAGTTCGGCCGCTTCTGTTGCTGATTTTTACGACTCAAGCAGCAGTGATGACTCGAGTAACAATGTGGGGCCGTCAGATTTTAGTTCTGATAGCGACTCTCCAGCCCAATGTCCTGGAATGTCAATAGGAGCTCGCAGGTGCATTTCGTTTTAGCTTGCACGTTGCAGTTATACAAACACGGGCTTTATAATTGACAACAGTGTTATTTTTTGCATGTTTAGAGTATCGACAGCGTATGGCAAGGATATTTTTCCGAATGCATCGCTCTGTATCCAGTTTTCACCCCAAGAGACAGCCCGGTGTCCATGTCGGCGCAGTACTGCGGAGCGACTCGCGGCGGTTCTCAAGAGCACTGGATTTTTTTTCTTTTATTTTTCACTGCCTAGGTGGTAAGGACTTTCTCTGAGAACACAAACAAATATGACTGGATGCATATTTTGAACCGGCAGACATACGCTCGACGTGACAGCTCCTGGAGGAATGTCACTCCGCTGGAGATGCTGAAATTTATTGGGATTATCATCTACACCGGGATGGCTGAAGTTCTGCTACTGCACTTATACTGAAAAACAACAGGAATATTCAGAGGCCATCTCGCACCAAAAATTATGCCAAGAAAGCGTTTCTCTGCAATGCGTGCGTTGGTGGAAGACACTGCTTTTTTATTGTGTGGACATTGCATGCGTAAATAGCTTCATACTCTTCCAAGAACACCGAAAAGAGAACCTAAACGTCCCTGAACTTTCTAGAAGTGCCTACTCTGACCAGCTGGCATTTAGCGAAGAGGTAATTCAGCAGATCTTTGAGTATGATGAACCAGCACCAAGGCCATATCCCGTTCTCACCCCAGATCCCCGCTCACCGCCAACCAAAAATAATGGAGAGAAGAAACTGCAAGCTCTGCTATCAAAAGACGAAATCACAATCAAAAACAAACGTCTTCTGCTCCACATGCGAAGTTTATCCTTGCTTCCTGCCTTCGCGTGATTGTTTTTGTGAGTGGCACAGCTATCGGGACCATTAACTTGGCTGGCCACGAAAAATACAAAACGTGCCGTACAGGACTGAAAGATAGTGAAATGATGGCTAGGGCCACTTGCAACAGTTTGTATATTTCAAAATTGTGAAAATAATTTTCTGGCTCAGTATAGCCACTCATTTGTTTTTTGCTTTTGCTTTTTTTGTCAACTTTTTGTTCATTTGACAAATAAATTCTCTTAACTGTTTGCATTCATAACACTGCCGTTTATTTAATTATAATGCCCAGCTAATAACCTACAGTTTGATAAATAGCAATGTCTAATGAGCCCAGTAGTTCCAGAGAAAAAAAAATATTTGCTGAAAGCACTGAAAATCTGTCATTTTTCCGCAATAACAAGAGTTAAGATTGAATTCACGAGAGTCAACTGTATTGAACTTTCAGTCCAAGCTCCGGGAGCAGGAAATATGTCACTGTTGACGTCACTTTCATTTCCTGGGTTGTTTAGGGATACGTTTTGCTATCTAGTTTAAAAAGGGATACTGAACCGAAATTTGGATTTCTCAAAACAAGGCCACAGAAGCGTTGAACGGGATGCTACGAACTGCAAAACATCACTCATACATCAATATATCAAACGGATGGCCATACATTTGGAAAAGAAGGGCGCGATCAAGCAAGGTCTTTGATGTCATTGTCCTCCGGGAGAATTCGAGATTGAGGGGAAGCGGCCTCAGTTCTCTCCTCCTCACTTCGGCTCACCAGAATACGGCGATCCGTTAAAGATATCGCTGTTCGAGTGATGTTTTTGGGTTTTGCAGCGTCCCACCTATTCGTCCAGCTTTGTTTTGTGGGCCCGAAATTTCGGTTCAGTATCCCCTTAAGCAGAGCATGACACTTCTACGATGTCATCGCACAGAAATCCAGAGATTGCTTAAGAGGGAATGGTAAACAAAGCAGACGGAGACACATTCCAGGTGCTACAACCCGGGGTGTGCTTACTACTCACCGTCCTGAACGATGCACAGGGGCTCCGTGGGCAGTGCTTTGAGCGTGTCCTCGTGCCGAGCAGTCACCTGCGAGCGTATCTGGCGTTAGGCGAGTGCCCATTCCTCTCGATCGGCCAGTGAGAAATCGTCCGGTGGTCAAATTGACGGAAAGCGGTTGCAGCCAATGATCAAGACTCACCCTTGATTTCCCATAGAGAAGGAAAAGCATAGCTTCGGGACTATTCATGCAACATTAGACATTGAAAATACAGCACCTAAAATGACCCTTTCGATGTGGTATCTAAACCGCTGTCACAGCTGACTGTGACTTGGAACGGACCAAGAGACGATTGCCGTGTGCTTGAGCTTTTTGCGACATCCTCACAACTAAAGTCATGTCGTCCTCGTCTTCAGAAGGAGCAGGTTGCATTTGAACCACCTTTTACTTTCATGGCCAACAACCAATGGCTATAAAAAGGTTGACACGGCAATATTCTCCCCAAACCGACACTTTTATTTCATTGTGTCGACCACAACAGGTTGTCGGGATCCAATCGATCGGTTGACGACAGACGAGCTTGCTGCCGTCGCTGCTCGCAGAGTGGCGCCGAAAAACTGCCCTGAAAGTTGGCCTTCACTGACCGCCCCCTAGGACCACCTTTTTTGTGACGAAAAGCCAACCTTCAGGACAGAATGCCAGTCGGCAAAACACAATTGAACGCACGACAGAAAAAGACGGAAACTAACAACCATGACAATGTAACCGCAGGGGCACGTCGACGCGGAAAAGCATTTCGTCTCACCCAGATCCCTCTGCGCAGGCACGGCATTCTCTTACACACACATTCGCGCGTGTGCATGCCTCGTCGACAGCCACCACCCACCTGTGCCATGATGAGGTCCACCCTGCCGCGGAGCCTGCAGACCTTGTCGAAGACCTCTGTGCGTGCCTCCAGCAGCTCCAGCAGGGGCGTCAGCAGGCCGCTCGCCTCGTGGCACTGCACAGTCATTGGGAAACGTCGCTGCTTTCTCCGGCAAAGGGCACAAAAGCGATGGGAGGGGGGTTTGCTGGGTGCAGGTTTTATGGCACAGGAGCGCCGACAGCCATACCGCTTCGAACTATGAACGTTAAAGAACGGTACTTTGTTTCACCATAACGTGGCACAGAGAACGCCGCGGCTTCTTCGAGCCAATCGGAGCGACAGAGGCAGAGCACGTGGCAGTCCTTGCCAAAGGTACAGGGACCAGAGCATAACTTAGGCAGTTGGAGTAGAGGGGAAGGAGAACTCTCCTCTTACCAGAGTCTCCTTTTGTGCGTCCCATACATCACTTTTGTTCCTCTGGAGGATTAGCCCTTCACTCAAAATTTGTACCAAAAGCAGATTCCCTCTCTTTCTTGCCGGTGGCTTGGAGAGCACTGCGTGCAACTGGTGAGTTAGAGTATGCGATAGACTCTCACTAGTACAAACTCCAGGAAGCCACGAATTTCGTTTGAATAATCAGAAGTGCATCTAAATACGATGCAAGATGAAATTATGATTTTCTATATGGGTGGCTACAGGTAAAAAAGCAGATATTTGATTATTTTCTCTACACAGGCCTATCAATCATAGGTGGGTATGCCACACATGAAACATTGGTGAAATGTATGAGACAATTTTACTCATATCTAATAAGTGTTTTCTACCGTGGACAGCTTAGACAGCATGTGACACCTCAAAACAAAATCAAAAGTTGTTGACTGTGGACCACTAGCCCCGTCGAGTGCGCTTCTTACCGAGCGCCAGTGTACTGTGGAGAAGCAACAGATGCGGGAGAGAGCTTCGCGAGTGTTGCTTCTCTGCAGTACGCCAATGCTTGGAAAGAAGCGCGCTCAACGGGGTTGCGAGAACAAAAAATTTCAATTACATGAAAATGCTGTTTGAATTAAGCGGCTTATAAGTACATGAAAAACATTGCGGGACGACCAAAATTTTGAAATTTGTTTAAATTAGCCGGAAGCATGAAATATTCCGGCTCCAATTATTGCGAGCCTACTGTAGTCACTTACTTCCCTCCGATGCACCGATTTCCTCATTGGGACCGCAGCCTTCATAGCTTGTTAAGTTACGGTGAGACAAAGTGCAGTAATAGTACACTATGATTGGAACTGGTCTATAGTGTTTGTGTAAATGTCCCATATGTTCAAGAAAAACCAAATGAGGTTTCAAAGGTATGAGACACTTGTCCCCTCGGAACAGGGCACGTTGTAATGGAATGCAGAACTTGAAAAACTCTGGGAAGAAAATGCTCATATTGTCTTACGACACTGATGGGAGGAGGGGTGGGCACACACTCACCGTCATAAGGTATGAAGTGTGCATAGAGATCACTGCCTTGGTCCACTTCATGTACGGGTACACTCTGCAACAGTGACGGACATTTGCAGAGGCTGAATCGTGGCCCAGACAGCTCTGACACACGCCTTTTGCTACTCGCGACAGTCCGTCGTGATCAGACACGCTCGATAGAAATCCCATCCAACCTCTGAAGCACGCATGCCTCCTCTGCACAAGGGGTGTTAAGTGGGCAGTTGGATATTAGCTGAAATGATGGTGAGCGGCATTTTCGGTTGACACATTTTCTCGGCGTTTCTAACCCTGTTTTGTCTCTAGCTCAATAAGCTGTGCTTCCTGTCGTTCTTGCCTGGGTGGGGGAAGACCTTGGTCTAGATTTCACAATGATTCAGGCTTTCACAATAACCCGATTTCACATGTGCTCATGGCATGCACGCGTCAAGCTCCATCATCCTGCATTGATGCATGCATCGAGCTTTGTTACTTTGCGGTGGCGTGCTAGCAGTAGTGGCTGATGCGGGGAGTGTCTTCGATGGGCTCGCACATTCTTCAACCATGATCATAAAAAGGCAGGGACCTTCAGATAGCTCCACTATATCAGCAAGGCCTTCCCGCGAAGCCTTCGGCAACAAGGCCTTCCCCAGCAAGGCCTTCCCAGCAAGGCACCTGCTCACGAAGCCTCTGATAGCAAGGCCTTCTCAACAATGCCTCTGCCCGTGAAGCCTTCACCAGCAAGGCCTCAGAGAGTAAGGCTTTCGCAACAATGCCTCTGCCTGCAAAGTCTCTGCCAGTAAAGCCTTTGCAACAATGTGCCCACAAATCCTATGCCGGCAAGGCCGCCCCACCATGCTTTTGCCGGAGAGGCCTCTGCCGGCAAGGTCGATCTAGCAATGCCTCTGCCTGCGAAGCCTTCACCAGCAAGGCCCGTGCCAGCGAGGCCTTTGCGACGATGCCTATACCCGCGAGGCCTTTTCCTCCCCCGTGGATCACTCACCCGCTTCCCCGGCAGTGCATCTGCTTGTGCAGCTCCCTGAGCAGGGGCAGCACGCTCGACAGGGGCAGCCTCCGCACCGTGTTGCGCACCAGGGAGTCGTCCGTCCGCTGGAGCACGCTCTGTTCCAACGAGACAAATCCCTTCTTACGAGACGCACGGACCGAGGGGGGGCTTTGTTTAAGTGCTAGACCGCTGCCCTACTATGTCTCACCTTCTGGCGTACTACAACAAACGCTACGAGTCACCGAGCCAGACGGTAGCTCCAAACGTGTCATGTAACCAGGCGGAGCAACGAGCTAGACTGGCTTAACTTGGTTCGTACCGTCTGCTACAATACGTTGTAAAGTGAAACAGAGTACAGTCTCCAGACAGTACAAAAATACCTATTTGCTGAGGCAGTTTTCAGGTGGCTATGGTGCATTAGCTTTGGCAAAGCCCACATATAAAGGGATGACATCCCGTCAGGAGACTGATTTGCCTTTCGTACCTTTGGACCTTCCAAGGAGAGTTCCTCTATTACCTCGGAACAATAAAAGAAATGAATAATTAAAAAACGATAGAAGATATATAACGTTTATTCTATCATCACTCCCACTCACTCACTCACTCACTCACTCCCTCCCTCTCCTCCTCCTCCCCTCTTTCCCCTCCTCCTTCCTTCCCTTCCCCCTACCCCCCTTCAAACAAACAAAGTGCCTCTGGTGAAAGCGTGCCTAGCACTGCCGTACACACTGCGTCGGCAAAGGGGTTTGTAGACTGTTCTGCTTGTAGGAGGGGGAACTGGGAACCAGTCAGTGTACCCTGTGCAGGGCTTTCCAGCGTGCAAAATGTTGCGTACAATGCTATGTAACTAATGAAGTTCCAGCAGAGCCCTCGGGGGTTATAAGAGCGAGCGTATCCTCCACTAATTGTGTTAACAATGTCTAAGCTTCTGAATTGCTTCACCACGAGACCGTCAAAAGGTGCAAGGGTTAAGGATTCCTTAAGACTTAAAAGAGGTTGACAACCCCTGCCATAATTGACGGCAGCTAACTTAAAGGGAAGCTGAAACACTTTTTGAAAAAAACGAGTTAGAGGTGAATTCTGGCGTATTTTTGTCCCGTGAATCTGAATATCCCATTCGTTTTTCCTGAAGATGCAACTAAAAGCGAGAAAACGCGGAAAACCTCCGACCAGTCGTGACGTCATACTAGGATCTTTGGGCCGCCAAGCGCGTGTCGCTCGTGTGGGCAGTGCGTGCAGTGGCAAGCTCGTCAGGTATATTTTGCCGCAATTACGGCAGTCTCTTTCTGACCTTTTTGAATATAGCAAGAGTGCGCGTGCATAGCTTTGACAGGCGCTGAAGATGCGCGAGAGCAGACATTCCGAAAACTCCTAGTGTGACGTCACGCCCCGGGAAGGAGGGGCTTCGGCAGTACTTTAAAAAATAATTCCTGAAGCCTCCGTGCACCAAATTGAAAAATAATCTTAATATTCCTGATCCTGGAGGTCGAATGAAGGCCATTGAAGTTTTTTTTCTCAAATACAGAACCGCTTCAGTTTCCCTTTAAATACATTGTTAATGCTTTTCCCAAGTCGTGGTTTCTGCATGGAGGTGACACGACGGCAACCACGGTATCTACGTCAGCGACCAAGAACTTCAAAGCATGTGGTACTCAAAATTTGCAATGCTCCTGCCTCCTTCTCTTCCCCCTTTGAGTAGAAACAGATGCAATCTAGCACACCTTCGGCTTCAGAGTTCTTGGATAAATCTGATAGGCAAGAAAAACATTCACCAGTAAAAACTTACTAAATTAAATAAAAAAGAACAAATTCCCGCTATAAAAATTTTTGGGGTCATGGGACTTCGCTTTGTTGGTGTTGTCAGGTCACAATTCTTTTATACACAAAAATAAACGGTACACTTACTTAGCAGTTGTAAAATGATCAAGCGATATCGAAATTCCTTGTGCGGTTATTTTAACCACCAGGAGAGATATCCGCATTGTCCGACAAATTGGCCCTGGGGCGGTTTGCTGGTGGCTGTGGCTATCTCCCCAGGCAGTTAACTTCCCCACAACAGAAACCTTAAGGTCACGTGACTGACCCCATGGGGGGGAAGTACCTAGCATTCCAACAGATTCCGCTTGACAGTTGTAAACACCTAGCCTGTCGTTTTCATAAATTCTCACTTAAAGGGAAACGCTGGTCTTGGAAGTACTTGCCTTAGCTATGCATAAAATACAATGGAACTTTCTATTCTTGTTCCGTTTTGGTGCTGATTTCAAACACCTCATAATTTTTTTAGTAAGTCAATTACTTCTTTAGATGATTAGAAATCTCTAACCATTGTTTGAAAAAAAAAAAAACTTTTTTTTTTTTTTTTACACAGTGTTAATAACATGTGGTTAGATACTACAGAGTATAATGAATACAATGCTGGAAGTACTTTTCAGGCTGGGAAATTATTAGCGTTATTAAACACACAAGAGTTCAGCATTCAGTCTGTGGTTGGCAACAGATAAACAATAGGGCAATTAAAAAATTTTCTTAACCCAAAGGCAGTTACCATTTCTTTGTACACTTTCAAAATAATTTTTATTGTTATTTTGGCGTCTGTGATGCCACTTCCTGAAGATGTGAAAATATTTTCATGAACAATTTTATGTCCCCCCGTCAAAATACTTCTGTCATTATTTTCACGTCTCAAACTTAGAACTTTGGAGATTCCGAGTCTGGACTGGGAAGAGATCGAAAGTGGTGGGGAAAAGAAACAACATAATCTTGCTTGCAGACAGTGTCGCGGTTCGACACATATTTTCTGAAAACAAATGCCATGCGCTCGGCTGTTGTTTTTTTTTATAAACTTTTAGGTGACGTGGAATGTAAAAAAAAACTTCTCAAATTACATCAGCAATCAGGCCGCACATAACGTTTGCTTGGTTGTGCCCAACATTAAAGAATGCGGCACCGCTGCTTTTCATAATTTATTTCACATGTTTTATATACACCAAGGAGCTTTGTGCAGTGTCCTAAAATTTGCAGTTGACTGGAAAATGTGTATCTTGTACAACCGTGCCAGAACTTTTGTTTGTTTGCACCGGTCAAGAAACACAGAGGAGGCAAAGTTTGCATTCACAATCTTTCATTTAACATACCAATTGTTTCGTACAGTCGCCAACCGTTTTTTCAGACTCCGATAATTCGGACTTGTTCTATATTTCAGACCTTAAGGTGGAACCGTGACTTACCCCATAGAAATAGTGTATATTCACGTGTTTCGGACAGCTTGACGTCCAAAAGTTTGATTATTCGGACAAAATCGTTGCGAGCGATCAGTGGAAAACACCATCGAGAAGCGGCCATTTTGAATTCTATGTTGGCTGCCAATGGATTGGCTTGGTTTGGCAGCGCTACTTGAGCACTCCTGAGTCCTACCGCTAGGTGATGCTATGCTAGCCCTTTTTTTCCCATTTAGCTGCGCGTCATCATCATCATCAGCATTATCATTTTGCTTTGTTTTTCGTTCCTTCGCGTCGCCAGTCGCCATTTTGCGCTCGTGGATTTGCGCCTCTGATCTCGTTCAAACAACGCTGGCTTGGACATCATGGCCCCATCTGTTCTTCTGCTACTCGACCATAATGCTAGAAAAGAAGGCAGCGATTCTCAAGCTAACAGAAAGCTGTCAAACGGAAACGGAGGCGTAACCTAAACAAGGCACGCAGGTGTAACCTGAACCAAGGCACTATTTACGGCTTCTTTAAGCCCACTTGGAAGTAATAAAGGCAAGTTTTTTAATCTGCTGATTTTTCGGTCCGAGCGAAGTCCGAATAATCAGTAGGCGACTGTGGTTATCCTAGTTAGCTGGCTCGTTATACACAAACCAAAGAAAAAATCTAAGCTAAACAACGAATGCACGAAACCCAGTTAAAAACAGGGTAGAAGCCACATGCAAAGCGAGACTGCAACCATACGAAGATGCACTCTCACGGTATGGAGCCACAAAAGGTGTGCCAAATTCCTCAGTATTACTTAGTGTACGCACTTACATTTGCTACATGCGGTGAAGACTGAGGGATATCCAGCTCACCTTTGTTGTAGATTCGAAATTTTAGGCGAGACGCGTGTCGAAATAACATGCGAGCTCAGAACATTGTCGCCGGGCGTGTCAGGTCCGAAAGGATCAACTGTCGAGCCAGTTATACACGCACACTAAATATGGGACATTTCCGTTAACAATTAGGACCGAAACATCTTAGGCAAGCAACGCATGAATCCATCAACGTAAACATGTGTCAAAAAAATAATTTTTCGCGAAAAAATTATTTTTTTAGAGCAATATTGTTGGCGCGAGATTTGTTATAAATTCTGCGCACAAAGTCCATGATGTCACGGAATGGTCATACACTCTTTACACGTCAACGAGATGGCCATACACCCTCTCCACCTCAACGTAATGGCCAAGTCGATCCACTTTCCTCCACGCACCAGAAATGCGGAGAAAACAAGTGGAAAGGGGGTAACTACAGACTAAATCGCGTCTCGCACCGTCAATATTGCTCTAAAAAGTTTTTTTTTTTTTTTTTCGCGTAAGCTCAATTTTTTGGACACGTGTCCCCCAACCAGACTTTAAAAAAAAATTATTTTCTTTTTAGGAGTTTAACATGAACTTTTTCCAGAAACAAACTACACACCGCATCTAAAGTACACAAATACGATTCATTTAAATATTTCGAGCCTGTTCGCCTTCTTTCTCTGCTCAGACTCGGATTCAAATAATCTAAGCGAGGGGGTACTTATAGCAGACATTTGTCTGGAATGCCATACCCACGGACAACTTTCTGTGTCATTTCCAACAAGAGGAGCGTGCATGCAAAGCATTAACCACGCTCAAGCATGTGCTCCCACCCCTTTAGCTGCATAGCCACACAAAGTTGAACAAGAGTGCAAGTGCCTTTAATTTCTCGTCCCCGCGGAGCCACTGTGACCCCAAAGTCCATCTTGAGGCTAATATACCCGCAGGACCAGATACCGCATCAACGAGTAAACCGGCCCAGAGGTGTTGAGTTAGGTTAGGTTTATGATTGATTAAGTTAGGTTTAGTGTAGGGTAGGTTTAGGTGAGATTAGGTTTGAGGTAAGGATGTTAAGCTTAGGTTAGGTTAGGTTAGCAAGGAATGGGTTCACTCACGCTGAGCAGCCGGGGGTCGTTGCTCTGCAGCCCCTGCAGCAGCAGCTGACACAGGTTGTCTGCACGGGGAGGCTCTCGGCCCCCCGGGGTACCCCTGGCCTCTTCACGGAGTCGCTCCTCCATGGGCAGCTGCAAACGAGCGACACCACTTTAAAAGGACCTTCCCTCCACGGCGGCCCCCGCTGAAGCACCCAGAGTGCTGCCACTTAGAATACCACATTTTATGGACCTCCTCCCCCCTTCCCTTCCCCCCTCCCCCCCAAATTTCCGTCGGTGCAATTTATGTCACAGTGTACATCTACACTTTTTCTTTTTAATGTAAATTAGAGCTTAACTGCACAAAGTTTGGACTGCATCAACATTTACGACAAACGAGGAACAACGGAGCACCCGGCGGTAGCTTGCTGTTCCAGCAGTTCAAAGCGTGGCAGCGCAGGTCCAAAGCCACAATACTGCGCCTAAAATTGCGATTGACGTACAAACTTTTTTGTGAAAACGGCCGTTTATACGGGGGTGCAACCTTCACGGCGGTGCCATTTTTAGACCGGATAAATCGGTAACCGAAGCCTTCGCGAACGGCCTCCCGTACAACAAGGCAACATAGCACTTGGACGACACCAGCTCGGTTACTGTGCCCACTCCCACGTCCTTCGACGCAGGCTCGACCGGACGCAAGAAAGGCCGACGCGGCCCTTGCATGCAATCGGAGTCTTCGCTCCATCTCCTTACGACGTCGTCGAAGCACAATCATCACCGACAGAACAAGAACGACTGGGAGGAGCTTCGGCATTTTCTTCTCTGACCTGACCTTCCAACGTTTGACTGCGCCTAGGCATCTTGCGCACTTGGCCAACTATGGCCACTCCTATTTTTTTACTGGTTTGGAAACACACTAAACACCTACCTGCCCACAAAATAAAAAAATCGGCAGAGGCAGCTAAGACTGCTTATGTGTAGGAACGCTTTCGCACTCCTACACGCACTGCATTCCTACAAGCAGCGCTCCACGCCTTCACATTGCACTTAAGGCGCTGCGACGTTGACATCACACTCCCCCCCCTGCGCAGGTGCGGCGAACCCTGCTTGCTGGCTTTACAACGATTTCCGTGACGAAGCAGTGCGTTGCTGTGCTTTTCTTTGTGTTTTATTTCTGAAGCACATCCGCTTTGACCATGAGCGCACCTGTTGGGTTCTGTGACGAGGCATTTGCATTGCTGTGCTCTTCTTTGTGTGTTATTGGGAATTTAGGTGTCATTTTTCTGCTACAGATGGTTACAAACAACGGTTACAGACAAAGCGCCCACTTCACTCCATAAAACAGTTAACGCTTTCGCTTTAAAAGAAAAGAAGGAAACAGAGCTGAGACAGCAGCAACCTTTCCCCCCAATTAGCCAAAGCCGCCCTTGACCGTCCAGTGTGAATATTGCGCATCTGAATTTGTGCAATATTCTTTCGTCTTGTTTTCAGCTTGCTCCTATGAAAAATTTATTTTCGAGGTTAGGTTCGCTTTATAATGACGACTGGACAAATTTTCAACCCCCACCCGTGCCTGCTCCTACCTGAATGAGCATCCCCCCCCCCCCCCCTACCGGCACATGCCCACGTAACCACAGCCGCGTGATGCACGAGAGAAAACTCCAGCCGCAGCTCACTGACCAAGTTTCTCACCTACAGCGTCAATCGGCGTCGTTGTAAATCAAAGGCAGACCAACTTTCTGATGCTCTAAACAAAAAAAAAAAAAAAAACCTAACCAGCTTTTTTCTTTACAGAAAAGCTGCTAATGACTAAGGTTCCGTGCGTTTTTTGTTGTGCAGTGACTAAAAGCTCCACGCTCGCACCGCCGCATGCGCATGCCTTCCCCGTATAAAAGATTCGAAGTAAATAACCAAAATAAAGCATTGACGAATGCACGTGCAAGATACCATTTGTTATAGGCGTTTGCTTTAGAACGGTTACTGCTGCAGATGCCAGCACGTGCGGCACGTGGAACACCATTCTCTGCATTCTCCTTGATGCTTGCGTAATTTATCAATAGGTCTGTTCAGCAGATTAGTTTTTTATAGGCACCATTTTCAAGATCAGTAGACTCTCGGGTACATAATAAAGATTTCTCAAAGATTTGCCGCCGTGCGACCAGCGTCAGCCGTGTCTAAGCTCGCACCACCCTCTCTTTGTCATCGTTTTAAGCGCTTGCGTGCCTAATTTCCTTTCCTTCCACTTTCCCGAGGTGGCGGTCCTGTCGTGCGTGTCTACTTTCCGCCGAGTGGCGGTCCCTCGCACATGTCTAGTTTCCTCCGGCTCCTGGGGGCGGGTCTGTGTTGTGTGCTAAACAGCTTCGCTCATCATCCACCTTCACAAAGTAAATTATGGCTCATGATTTTCTTATTTTTTTTAAAATTCTTTACAGGATAGATTTAAAGGTATTTATAGCACCTTCTAGAAATTCTTTGAGATGAGCGGTTAAGAAATGTACGCTGGTAGCCAGGTCCAGTCCGGGGCACAAAAATGCTTTAGGCTTTCGAGATAACTGACCCAACAAGCCAAGGTTGCAGCTCACCTGAGACGTCGGTCCGGTCTTCTTTGAAGGAGCCTCCACCCTGGGTGCCAGGTGGCCGGGGGCCAGGTTCGTCACCTCCTTGCTCACCTCTACGGGGTGCCGCACCTGCATGAGAGCAAAAACCTTGCACGGCGCCCGAAAACTCCACGCCCGAAGCGCTCGCAACACGAGGTTTCGCCGTCACGCAAAATGAACCGTTCCCGCCACTCGCACATGCATCTTCAGCACTCTCTGGCAAAGCCATTTCTTTACAACGCCAGATAAGACCGACTTCTAATTTCCCAGAAATGCATCGTACACAGCACAACCCGGCCACTCCGTGAACCGCTCGAGCAAGACGCGGTGGTGTTACAACAAAATGTTCTTGAATTGCCTAAGTTTTGTCGCAAAAGGTTAGAAAATTTTTGAGTTGATAAATTGCCACCTTAGGTGTCTATCTTTTCAGTTATCTATCTGCACTTCTAGGTTTCAAAGTATTTCGCTGCAGGCATGCTAGTGCAAACAGAACTGCAAAACAATTTGTTCATTAATCGGCATGACGATGCAACAACGACCTTCACAAAGCTTGGAAACAACTGCGGACAAACCACGCATCTGTAGGTACCACACCACCATGTGAGGCTCCACTCACCAGGGATGCAGCCTCTTCGAGCTTGTTGGAAGAGGCCTCCGTCCGTGTTTGCCTGACCAGGCAGCTGTGGCCACGGAGTTCTCCGACACCCTTCTGCAATCGCAAAGAGACACCTTCTGAAGACACCCTCCACCACACAAGCCCGAGGTAGTAGACTAACTAAAATGGCAGAACCAGAGTATCGCCTTCGTTTCTCCTTTTGCCGCCAACTCCTCATCCGCGGGAAAAAGTCACCCACGCCAGATTTGACTATGTCGCTTGCGGGAAGTGCCTAGACGGGCGCCTGGTTCCGGGAGAGCATACTCTTTGCTCTGCGCTAGCCAAGCGCAGATTTTGCACTCAGGTCTGATGAGGAGGAAGCTTCTTGAACCTTGGAACATTGTGTGTGCGTGTCACTTGGACACATTTAATTGCATTCTTTTTGCAATGCAAGTGCTGTTTCGAAGCGGCCGTGCACAATCAGACGACACTACAGCCGACGATGCAGCGCATGCACACACGTTTTCGTGGGATTTGGGAGATGCATGATGGTGCACGCGCAATGAATCGCCGCCTTGTGTCGTTACACCGTCACGTCTCCTGCGAGAGCGACAGTTGCTTCTCCCGCAAGTTGGAAGTAAAATATTTGAGACAGTCCCAATATTATGCTTTGCAAGCGGAGTCATCGTCCGACTCAAATGGCAGCCAGGAACTCTTCCCAGTCTCAGTACTGATGCGATTAAGCGGTGCAAACGCCCACAGACCTTGTAAATAATAATGCACATACAGTAGGCTCCCATTATTTCAAACTCCGGAAAGCCAGAAATTTTGTTTGAATTATCAAACATTCATCTAGATATGGTGCAAGATAAAGTTACCCATTGCCATATGAATGGCTACACATTCAAAGCGGATATTTGGTGATTTCCTCTGCATAGGCCTACTGATCATAAGCAGGTATGCCACACAGGAAACATTTGTGAAATGTATGACAAGTTTATTTACGGTGTTTGTGGAGAATAACATAGAGGACGAAAACCGGACGACACGAAAACCGGACGACATGGAGAAACGTGTCGTCCGGTTTTCGTCCTCTATGTTATTCTCCACAAACACCGTAACTTAACCAGCACGCTCCATTTCCACAAGTTTATTTATCTCTCAAAAATGTTGTTTGCCATGGACTGTTTGACAGCACATGATAACTGAAAAGTTAAATTTAATCATCGGGCCAAGAAATTGTCCATTGTGGACTGTTAAGGGGAGACACTGCCCACAGGGAGACACTGCCCACACACAAAAAAAAAAAGGTTTCTGCAAAAAAACTTGATTTTGAAAAATAACATATTTACATCCACCAACATCTAGAGAGTATTCCCAAAAAGTTTAATTTTCACTGCATAGTTAATTTTTTATCAATTATTTTCTGTCCACCAAAGCTAAAGAAAAGGTAGGGTTCGGAGCACTTTGAACACATTTTTCTCCATTCCACTTTTTGGTATAAAATTCATTTTAGTCAATCTATCGTTTGATAATGGCAAAACAGGGAAGGCTCATTCTTCCCTTTTCCTGACTGAAATTTAATAAGGAATGCGGCTATGGAACTTTTTTGACACTTCCTGGATGTCTTTTATAAAAAAAATGTTGACATTTTGTAAAAGACACAGAAGACCAAAAAGTTTACCAATTTTGCAGAAGAGAAAATTTACAGAAATAAATCACTTTTTAGAAAAAACGTTCCATAGCCGCACCCTCTAGGCATTCTACTACATATCTAGCAAATATAAATCTTGAATATTGTGATAGTTTTCTGACGATAGATTAACTAAACAATGTAGGTGTGTTGCTGATAGAAGCTACTCTACTTTCTTTCTCATTTAACCGCCAGACCTGAAATTTTGTTATACACCCTCTAGCATGACCACCAGCCTACCCTGTAAATTTAATTAATTTTAATACAAGAGTTCAAAAGTTGACCCCCCTAGGGGGTGTGTCCCCTTAAAGGAACTGTCAGGTCGAAACCGGAATTACAAAATTTTTGTGCTCGTTACGCCGAGGGAGCTTTCATGTAGTCATAGTTTTTATTTTGATATACAATCTCCCCATATTAATTAAACCTTTTACGAGCGTGTACAAAACTGCACCCCAAATTTTGACAGTGTCAATGACTGACATCCGAAGCTGCTGCGTGACGTCACATAACACAAAGGATCGTCGGACGGTCCGAATAAACAAGCGTTGGTCGATGAATGTCTTGTATTTCGTTTCTAATTATATACCGTATTTACTCGCATATTGTACACACTTTTGTGTAGTACAGTCGAATCTCGTAAATTCAAACTTCTGGATAATTCAAACTAACATGCACGTCCCATCCTATGCGTCCCTATGAGAAGAAACTCCCGTTAATTCAAACTTTGCTTTGTTCAAACAATTTTTCGGTCCCCCTCGTGTTTGAATTAACGAGATTTGACTGTATATGTTAGTGAGAGTGTATGTGAGCGAGACGGTGTGTGAAGGACTGTGTGCAAGTGTGTTTATGTCTCTCTGTATAAGAGAGCGGGAGGAGGCACCCACCAGAACCTCAAAGGCCGGCCTGAGGAAGGTCCCGTAGCAGAGCAGCAGGGAGTCCCCCTCCAGGAATCCCGCTGCCAGGATGGGCAGGGGCTGGGGCTTGTGGGGCGCCTGACCATTGGGGCCCCCAGAGGCCATCTGCACCGTGGCACGGGGCTGCAGAGGGGTTTGGCACCGCCTGCACAACGGGCACGAGGTTGAGCTGCGGGCAGATCATGCCGCTGAAGGACCGCACCCGCACGGTCGAATGAGAATAGAAACTTGAACTCACTCAAACTAACAAAATGGCAAACTGCTATAGCTACGGCCCCAGCGAGCCAATCGACGAGTCGGAGGGAAGTTTGTGACGATGCATCGTCGGAGTACAATCTTTCTATGCAGAGTTACTTTTTACTACGCTCCACCGCCGCAATTGGCCGGAGGATTCGGTAGTGCGGAGGACTCGGTACTTCGTTTTGGGGCGACTTTGCAAAGTCACCCCAAAACGAAGTACGGCGACGTCTGGTTAATACGGACACCCCCGGTTCCCCGAAAAAGCGTCAAAAACAGGGGTGGCCAGACGGATACGTGCAAACAGCAACAAAGAAGAACCATTTTAAGCGAAGAGCTGCGGTAAAAAAAGGGTGTGGCAGTTTTTATTTCTTTTATTTTAGTCGATGTCCACCGCATATTGCTCTAATAAAGCCATTGGCCATTATGCGTCTTTATTGCGCGCTCCCGTTCGTGAAAGAAGCACCTTGAGGACTGGCTAAGTGTTTGTCTATCCGAGTTGCACGCTCCTTTGATCCTACTGTTCATATTTCAGAAACGTGTTTTACAACTGTTCATTCGTCGGAATCTCGACAGTAGTTTTTTACTTGCTTTTATTCTACAATTTTTGTTATGATATTGCCCTGGGGGGGGGGGGGGGGGGGAGGGTATGCGTCCCAGGGAGCCGCGAGCTGCACTTGGACTCGCAAAGTTTGACCACCCCTGGCCTATGATGTGAGTAGTCCATATGAACGAGACAAAAATGCACATATTGACCCAGTTCGACCCCCAAAACATTCATATAGTGAAGGGCACCCATATTAACGAGATATTACTGTAAAACTTTTCAGCTCTTATCTCTGACAAAAAATGCAGAGTCACCGCGTGTGCGGCGTCCGACATGGCGTTGAGGAAGAGAGTTACTTCGCATGCCCGGAATGTGTGCCCCAACCCAGTAGACAAGATGGCAGTGCACAGAGGAAGGATTTTGAAAGGGTGCATGGAGCTGCACGCCTGGCAAAGTTGCCAACGCGTTCAGCCGCCATGTGAGGTCACGGGGTTCGAATCCCCGCTCGGCTGTCTCGTTTGTTGACACTCGCTCTTCCGGGAAGTCCTAACCCGTTCACAGCCGTCGTGGTGCGTTCGGGTTTTGAAACGGTCCCGATCGTACTGCGCGCATCGAAGCGTTGATGCGCCGCGTCAAGGAAGTCACCCTTAAGTTGCCGACGCAAGATGCGTGGTACTTTTTTCTACAGTTTGTGGGCACAAAGTTCGCCTCATTGAAAATTTTGCTTTTTAAATCTGAATTTTATTTTCTTGTGACAACAGGCAGTGTTAGGTTGGCATACACAAAACCCTTACATACACAAAGAAACAGCGTCGTTGGCACTGCACTTGCGCCAAGTCCGAGCTGCATTTTGGATTGACACGTGGCGACGATGCTCTTTCTTCCCATTCTAAAACTCGCCCTGATTTGGCAGTAACGAAAGGGCCTTTCACTTTGAAACTAGTTTTTGCTTGTCTCTGTACGGAGCGAACCTCCACATTCGGGCTAGGCAATTTTAGGAGCGTCAATGCGTGTGAACTTGCCCGTTGAGCTGCAGGTCGAAGATGTGCAGGATGCCGGTCCTGGTGACTGCCGACAGGAGCATTTTCTGCAAAAGGAAGAGGGGGATCAATCCTGGGCAACACCCCCCATAGGCCCGTGTCTCTCGGCTAGGGTGCACCGTAGCGTCCGCGAGACGGCACTACTGAAGAGGGGGCTGCGGCCTCCGCTAGGGTCAGCGAGATGCGACCAATTAAGCAAAAACACTACCCTCAAGGTGCAATCTTTTTCTTTTTAAAGTCACATTTTTAGCAAATAGTCTAATAAGCTTTCAAGTATCCTAAAGAATGCTGTCAAAAACATTCCCTCCTGTAGCTAAAGTATTTTCTCCGGGATAAATTATTTCCAACATACTGGCACCCTCTAAAACATACCTTTCAGAACCTACAAATGTGTTTATCTCAGTTTCACTTTTTGGCATCAAATCTTGGTTCAGGAAAACTATTATTTGATAATGAATTGATGTGTGGAGCCAGCTTCTATGCTGCAATTCTGCAAAGAATGTGCCTGTGAGCTTAGTTTCTGCACTTTCGTTGTCTTTTGTATGAAAAGCTGCAGTACCTTCAACCTAATGCATGCAAAAAAATAAAACATTGTTTTTACATTTTGACTTTTACAGCGGGGCTGCTAAGGACTAGTTTCCCCAGGATCGTGTCCACAAACAAATAAACGTCGACACAACACTTCGGACAGCTAGCGCCATCTATGAGCGACGGCGGCAACCAGACAACCGGCTTTCCACTTGTTGCCGTCGCTCCCCCATAGATGGCGCAACCTTTCCAGCCTTTCCACTATGGCTTGCCAACTTGTGGCCGGCCATTACTTCATTCCCGACCATAGTACAGCTTCGCTGTTCTTCCTTCTTCACCAGAGTGGAAAGGCTGAGTTTTTTTTTTTTTTATTAATAATGGCTTAATTTTTGTAATTTCTTTCCATAGTCACATGACATGGGTGTTATACTGCCTGTTTCACGAAAAACACTGGCCACTATCGTCACCTTTCCTAAACGACAGTTTTGCTCAAGGGGCGCAGTGTTTACTGATGAACTTTTACGCAACCCTTTGAAGGCTAAGCTTATAGACAAAGCTTTGCACGTCATACACTTTTCCAGCTATGAATATGCCCCAAATTTCCGAAAAACAAGACAGGCGGTTTACCCTCTTGAGTAGTGTCTTCCCTTAATCCCAACGTAAAGCGGCGTCCCAGCGTCCCATTATGCACAATCCACAGGCGCATACGAGTGTCTGAAAGCATGCCCTGCTGGGACTCTCATTCGATCGACGGGAATATGAGTTCCAGGTGAATGCCAACACAGCACTAGGGTGCAATCTGTGCTGTCCCGCTGGCTCCTGGTGGGTGCCGTAGACTTCAGACAAAAGCATGGGCGAGTTGGCGATTCACGGTGCCAGTCTCGGCACTCGCTGCCGAGACTGTGGCCGCGAGGCCGACTTTACGAAGCGCACTGTATTGGCTCGGGGTGGCACCTGGCTACCGTATTTATTCGAATATAAGTCTACCTATTTTTTTCGGAAACCGTGACTAAAGAATTTTGACCTACATTCGCGACCAAATTTTGCGACCCTACCGGAGGCATGAAGCTATTGAGTCACCGAGCCGGCGTTGCCGTAGAGCCGCGCCCCTTCTTGTTTCAAAAAGCTTTTGGTAAACAACAGAAATGGCCCGCCTGCGGTGGCCAGTGCCGCTATCGCGTCGTATTTCGCCATCGCGCCTCTAGCGTTCCCCTTGCTGGGCAACGGGGAAGGAGAGGAACGCGATGCGCCAGGCACTTTGCCCTCCATCCTCGCAAACGCGCACAAAAAAAGAAAAAAAAAAAAAAGATGTTACTTTTGTTAGTTGCTTGAGGCGGCTCGGCTCGCGTGTTGCTCATGGCGACACGGCGGCTTTGCTTGCGTCTTTGTAGTTTGTCTTTCGTCACTTTGCACCTTCTTTCGTTTCTTCTTGTCGTCATTTTACAATGGTGTCAGTGAAGTGTTGTTGCGAATTTGCGAGGATGTCTACCAAGCTGACGAAGCTTCGGACGACGATGACATGTCCAGAAGTTCTGACGGTGATAAAGTTTTTGGCATCGCCACGTGATTTAGCTGAGAGTGATGTAAATAAAGGTTGTTTCTTTCTTTTGCCCAAAATTTTCCCTGTTCTTAAAAATAAAAAAGAAGGTCGACCTATATTTGAATTATTTTTTTTTAAATTCTCGGTGGGTCCAATAAATAGGGTTCGACCTATTTTCGAGTAAATACGGTAGTATGAGAAATCACCGAGGCAGAAGAAATTGTGCGGCCAGAATACGGACGTGTAGGCGCCCCTCCAGTGTCTGACTGGCGAGGAATAGGGCTCTTGGCAAAAGGGTTGATGTGACGTGCGTAGCTCTTTTTCGTTTCATGGATTCGCTTCTTGCAAAGGTTCTCTGTTGTCCCAGTCTTTCTTTGTAGTGGCTGCTTTCAACACAGAGTTGTTTAAAGTTGTCCAGACGTGCATGCCGGGAGAGGCGGGGGAGGGGGAGGAGGACACTTACCCGTGCATTGCCTGTGGAAGATGAAATTCCCATATGCAGTGCGTCGTCAGAGAGCGTCAGGCACGCCAGGGCGCTCGTGCTTCCCCCTGCCTGCAACTGCCTGCATGGCACGACAAGGAAAGGGGCCTTCAGGCACGAGCAAAGCAAATAATCATCATACCATAAAATCCCGAAAGATGCCCCACCCTCGAAGGGTAACCCACCCCTATTAAAACGAGAGCTTTAAGGAGCTCGTGTCGCAAAAAAGCCAGCGTTGGTGTCGTGAAGATCCTGATTGGTCTACAGGGTCATGACGTTATAGCCACATGACCTCGCGTGGGAATCTCAAATAACCCAGAGCGCTCATGTGAAACGTGATTTCAAGCGTGGAATGAAAGTGATTAAAACATGACATGTAATGCGAACTAAAGATTGCCGCATTCCACAAATTACTTCACTTTATAAAGTAATTATTTGCCTTGAAGAAAAAATTAAAAGAATTTTAGGCGGAGGCAGGATTCAAACCCACGACACTTCAGTTGTGAGCCAGACACACTACCAACTAGGCCACACAGACACGCTTGCACGACCTGGGAAGCAGTGAAGATTTATATTTCATTATTGCGTTCCACTCTAAGAGGCGAAGCTTAAGCGTCCTCCTGTAATGTCTTTGACTTGATTTGCTATATATTTTTTAAACACCTATGTGTTTAATGATGACCTCAGCGGAAATTCGTCTAGTTATCATGGCAGGATATAATGAAACATTGCTGACTGGAAAGTACAGTCATCTTTGCTTCATTGCCCCTCACCGCGATAACAAGTTTGGCAGGGAAACATAATCTAAAAATAGCATTTTTTTTTCCAACTTTTCTTGATTACACATTGAAGGTTAGACCACTCCTCATTTTCACCCAATTTTCTCTCGATTTTAGGTGGGCTACCTGTCGGGATATTATGGTAATAATAATAATAATAATAATAATAATGATGATGTTTTATTGTATAGAAACACTTACGTCAATCTGACAACCTGTGACCGGGCAGACTGTAAAACATTTTACCAAACAGTAATAAGACATACTAAAGAAAGAAAAAGTCAAGGAGCAGCTAACACCTCGCTATGCCATGTAAAACTATTACAAGCAAAAACAAACACATACTAAAACAAACACATTTTTGCAGCCTGGATCACCATGTTTTTTCGATTTTCCCCCGCAGTTTCCATTTGACAACATACTAATTAAATTATCTGGTTATTTAATTTTTAATAATTTGCGCAGTCAAGCAGACAACAAGCCCTCCCCCCGCACCCACCAATAGCCGAGGAAGCTCTCAGGACGTTAGTATAAACCGTTGCAAAGGCCTGCAGGCCTCGCAAACAGTAACATACACACTGTTTGCCAGAGAGTCACGTGTTGGCAGGTGGCAAGAGATTGCCCGAAGTAACGCTTAAAGGCGAACCTACAGACGCCTTCTGCCAGGAGGAAAACCGGTTCCCAGTTTTCTCCTCTCCATTCCCCCTCTCTTTACAGGAGTGGATCTCAGAGCTACTCGCCGTGGAAAGGAGGAGGGTCTCCCTCTCCCTTGAATAAAAAGGAGGAATTGAGAGGGAGTTTCCTCCTTTCCGCTCGTTGGCCGGCCTTTAAACTGGAAAAGCACTTTAGCAAGGGTGGGAAATGTTCGGAACGATCCAAGTACCAAGGGGGGAACAAGAATGTATGCCCTACAGCAACGGTTAAATTCGCCATGGTCATTCGCAAAATGAGAATGCCCGGCCCCCCGCACGTAACACGCCTTCTGCCGGGACCTGGCGCAGTCGAAGTTCATGAGAAGCCAAAGTGTCAAAAGTAGGAGGCTAGCACTGGAGGCGGGAGATGTGAAGCTCTTCCTCTGCCCTTCTCGCCTCGTCAGTGACCAGAGCGTCTCTGGAACTCTGCACTGCGTGCGGCATGCGCAGTTTCGTTAGTTCCCCGGCTTGTCTCGTCCAAACGGCCCTCGAGATGTCAATGAAATATGAACATCACAGCCAACTGCCCGTTTGAAAAAGAATGAAGCAGCAAACCGAAGTGTGGAACCTCCAGCAGAGCGAACGTTGCGAGAGAAAGTTGACAAGGCTCCAATATCAACACGATACAATACTTAATGGCACACTATTTCGGGCCATTGCCCCGCTGAAGTTCGTTTCGCATCGTACGAAGCGAAGCTACAAACACGAGTTTGCTGCCCCGAACGTTTCCGCCGCACGAGCGCACACGCCCTTCGAGGACGTTAGAATTTCGGCAGCTTCCTCTACGCTCACACTTACGACAGTGGCTAGCCGCCCCTGCCCTTTTTGATTCGTATGAATGTCACACTGGTGTGCGGTCGCATATCGCTACTGTGTAATGCATGCTAAAGACCCCTATCTCTGATGGCCATACTGCACTGAGAAAATTTATCATCTACGGCAAAGACACCGGCTGCCCAATGGTGCTGCCCAAGTGCCCACCATCTAAACGAACGCACGACGCAACAAGGCTGGGTGGCAAAAAATGAAACTGTCGTTGTGTCTTCCAATACGGCCTTCAGCACCGAGCTCATATGAAGTTAATCTGACCCCTCCGCTCAGAAACTAACCGTACGCGTTGCATGCTGGCTAATGGACACTCGTGAGCTTAGGGCATGATGATCTCCCAATTAGCAGGCACAAACCGCAGCGCCCAAAAAGCTGCTACGTAAAGCACAACTAAAGAAAGAAGAAAGAAGAGCAGGTATGAGGTTTTTGTGCTTAGACGGTCTGCCCACATTGTCACTTCGCTGTATTTTCCGGTGTACAAGTCACACTTTTTTCCCCTCTTAATTTCTATTGCTAAATTTCATACAATGGTGCAAGTTATATGCTCAGACCATACAAGTATACAGGTGTGACTTATATGACAATTCCTTTTTGTCTAAATGGCCACTTATAGAGGTCTGCGACTTACGCAACATGATGGTGCTAGCATGCAAATAGCCCTCGAACACTCCCACTTTGACGGCGAGTCTCGCAGTGCTAGCGAGATCAAATCAATGGCGCCATCTTTGTGAAATGGTTGCCCTCTGTACAGTCAGACGTAACTCACTTTAATGCAAAAACAATGATGAGCAAAAAATCGGGAAATATTGGCGGACCGGAAGCGTGGCCGAGCTAGCTGACAGAAAATGCCACCAAAAATGTTGCCCAAAAAAAAAAAAGGTTGTACAGAAGGGAGAATATGGTACTATCAAAGCGTGGGTGGTACAAGACGGCAAAGAGAGCGAGGACGAGAGCCCGCCTGCCCCGAGGGCGACCCCTCACCAGGCGCTCAGCTGGCGGTCTCCGGCGGCCGACGAGAGGAAGTAGCACCGGGACTCGCCCCCTTTGGGGCCGGCCAGCACCACGGGAAGCAGCTGACGCACCTCCGTCGCATGGCCCGTGAACTTCTGCGGAAGGAGAGACGAGCGCAGAAAGAACGGAAAATGAGGACAGCCCCGTCAGGGAGCGGACGGTCGGCGTCTCTCCGACACGACCGGAGAGACCCAGTAAAGAGGACAGCCCTAACGTCCTATGCCATTGCACTCTCTTTTCACATTTATCGAAGTACTATGACCGTTTGATTTCCTCTATGACACCCAGTCAATGCGGAACTTACGCTGAAATAAACCAGAATTTGTTATGCCTAACCTTGGCAAAACCAAATCCAAACACCAGAAAAAGTTTCTAGTTTCTGTCAAAGCGAACGTGGCCCTTTGACGTTTGCTTCGACGAACTAATACCACGTTACTTGGAAACACCGACATCAATGAAGCGCCACGCTTCGACGGGCAACTGCGAGCGAACCGCGATGAATTTAGATTCCCGTCTCCAACATTTCTGCTAACCGGTGGCCTACGGACATTTGCGACGGCACTTTTAGAATGATATTGAATCTGCAGCGTGTATCTGTCGAATGGCACCGGTAGCAATATTCACCGGTGCTTCCCCCCTGAAGCGGCCTTTAATAGCCAGCCAGCAATGCACAAAGAGCTGAAACCCACCGGAAAACATTTCCCGGTCTACCTGGAGCGAGCACTTTAACCTTATAGCAGTGGTCTCAAACTCATTTTAGTGTGGGGGCCAAATAGCCCGCACCAGAAAGCTCAAGGGCCAGTGTAACACGGGGGGGGGGGTTAAAAGATTCTGGAGAGAAATGACCTCGTGCTCTATGCTTTGTGTGAACTGACAGTTTTGCCAGTGAGATCTTTAGATTTGATTTGTTTATATCACTTCTTTGGGCCCTGACCTGAAATTATCACAAGAACTAAAATGACACTGCCAACGTGTTGGCATTTTGAATGGAACAAGAGTACACTGTCGTTTCCGTTGCTCAATTCACGCAGGAATTAACCTAGCTCTACATGTCTCTAAAAAAAATAGTTAATTTGACAAGTTGCTGGCGATTTTTATTAACACTCTCAACAAATACTTGTATTTTAATGGCGATATTTTTTTGAAGGCGAGGATCAGGAGCTCGTAGCTTTATCTTTGGCAGTTGCCCCTGCTGATCGAGTTCGCAGTCGAGATGCATCCTTCAACGAACAGCTCGCGCTTGCAGCATAGTAGTGGAATCTTTGTACATTACAAAAAGCTGGGAAGTAAAAAAATAAAGCGCAACAAAGGGCAAATGAACACAGATAAGTATAAAATATGTGAATTTGTTAAAAGAGCAGAGCTACTTTTCGAGCAAAAATCAATCGACGAGATGAGATCACTATGGCGCATGCCATTTCTAGCGCTCAAGACATGGGAACAGGGACCTGTAGCCGGTTGCTTGCGGGCCGCATACCAGCGAGTCGCGGGCCGCGTGTTTGAGACCCCTGTCTTAGAGGAATGTGATGCAGGCTATTTACCATGAGAACAGTCTTGCTCTCCACGTCCCACCACTTGACACTACTGCTGGCTGTCAACACTGTGCCTGCATCGACCGCTGCCACCGCATGCACGCTGTGACGGTCCGCCTTCCATTTGCTAGGGACAGAGAAAAAAAAAAGACATTCTGTCACCATCAAGTGCACTCCTAGATGACTACTGGAAAAGCTGGTACAGTGTAGACCGCATATAACATGTCGCGGAAGTCGCAAAAATCCGCACTATAAGCGGCAGCGCGCTATAATCAAAACAACAATTTTTCAGGTCAAAATGCATGCCATGAGACAGCTTACCTTTGTAAAACAATCTATTTTACATCAGATAAAAAAATAAAGCTCAGTCTGAGAAAAGTTCGTATTTCACTAGACTAGTACACTTTTCTCTGAAGTGTGTCACGTATTTTGAAAGAAATTAGTGATTTTTGCCTGGCGCTGCTTTTTAACGGCGTTGCAGACGACCTGGTCTGCGATAACGCTAAGGCATTTGAACACCTCATCATTGAAGGAGATCTGCTCACAGTGAACCTTCAGTTTCTGTAAGAATTCCAGTGCGTCTTTACTTGAAACTTCCGGCGTGTTCTCTTCGCTGTCGTCCGACTCATCTTCGGGTGGACTCGCCCCAGAACCTCGCACCGCTGCAACAATGGCTTCATCGGTGGTTGCTTCCTCACGAATAACAGAGTCATCGTAATCCTCATATATATAGTTTTGAAATGTGTCGTTTGCAGAAACAAAGTGGTTTTCCACAAGGTTGGACCACACGTCCGCGCCGATCGCCTCATCAATTGCATCACTGCACTGAACGGCATCCTCCGAATTCCCGGCATCGCGCACAAACCCTGCGTTGCCAAAACACTTCTGGATAATTGTGGCTTTTACTTGCCACCCCGACACGGTGATCATGTCTATGGTGCCCCTCAAGTCTACCTTGATGGGTTCCTCTCGTTGCCATTTCAAGATGACTCTTTCGAACATGCGCTTCATGTAGAGCGCCTTGATTGTAGCGATGACGCCGTGATCGAGAAGCTGGCTTTTACCAGTGGTGTTTGCCGGCAGGAACTTCAAACTGACTGCGCTTAATTGCGGCTGCACATTGTGAGCGCTGCAGTTGTCCAAGATAAGAATGAGTTTTTCTGCGATCATGGCCTCATCGAAATTTTTCAGCCAACTAGCAAAGAACTTTTGGGTCATCCAGGTCTTTCCATTTGCTGTGTACACTACAGGCAGACATTCTGGCTTCTTGAAACAACGGGGTCGTTTTGATTTCCCCGATTATTAACAAGCGCCGCTTGTCGGAGCCGTCCATGTTTGCACAAAACAAAACCGCGACATGTTACTTTGAGACTTTGCGGCCGGAACAAGGTTCACCTCTCATCGCGAGAGTGCGATCGGGAAGCATCTTGTAGCACAGACCAGCTTCATCGGCATTATAGATGTCATTGTCTGCGTACGCGGAAAGCATCATCTCGAGGTGAATGCAAAACCACGCCTGAATGCTGGCGCCGTCGACTTCCCCACTTTCGCCCAAAATAACTTTGCAGCTCATCCCGTGGCGGTCTTTAAACTGCTCGATCCATCCGTTGAGGAGGTTGAAGCCTTAGTGTTCGAACAAATGTCAAAAGGACCTAGCCTTCGCTTGTAGCATTGGGCCACTCACTGGGACGTTCTTGGCTCGCAACCTAAACAAGGCTTTGTCTACGTCCTCATACTTTGAAGTACGAGTCCTCTTTTTTGAGAGCGACGCAAAATCTTGCTGTAGCTGCTTCGGTACCTGCTCCCGGTTCTTCCAGACAGTAGAAACCAATCTGTCAGCGACGTTGTACTTTGCCACGACGGAAGCTTTTTGCATGCCACTTTCGACATCTTTGACGATGCTCTCTTTAGTTTCGAGAGACAGGACTTGTTGTTTCTTGGCCATCTTGGGCTTGGGAGACAGAGACAGATCGGCGATGGACGGTCGATTTCCGTACGATATGCTTGATGCGGTCCAAACAGACGTGGAGCAAGCCAGCAAGCTGCAAAAAGCAAAACTAGAAACTACCCAGCCTTCGTTTTGCGCGCGGTGTAAGAAAGGAGGTTGGTTTTGCATCACTCAAGCGAGGGGGTGAAATCGAAAGGCAAAAGGCTTGGGTGGCTCATGGAGGCTTTCGGAGTTGAGCACACGTGTGCATGTGTCGCACCTTGCTGCGTCGTCATTTGTTTTTCACCTCCCACCTTTGCTTCTCCTCGCTTCTTCCGCGCAACGTCTTTGCCATCCTTGCCCCCGCAAGTGCTGCTTGCGCGGTTATCTGGTGTTGGACAGGGAAGCGTGCTTGCTGTGTGTGCCGGTCGGCGGGCCATTCCAGAAACCACACTGTAACCGGTATCTCCCTTCGTGCGCCTGCATTTTAAGCGGTATGTAATTGCATAAAGTTGTATGGAAGGCGGATTGGTGGTTGAAGAAAGCTGCGTTTTATCCGGTCCTGCAATATAAGCGGTTATGTTATGAGTGGTCTATACAATAGTAAGAAGCAGCAGAGAGTGCAACTTCAACCTGGCAACATGGTGTGCCCAAAAGACCAACGAATTCCCCACAGCACGGCACGTTTCCTTCCAACGCTAGGAACTCCACACCCCCCCAAAGGGAGCAACCTTTCTCACTAAGTCCCGGTGGCTGGACAAACCCAATACGAGTCAGAATGGCGGGCTTTCTTCCGCTTCTGACCTCCACGCACGAAAGCGAGCGGGCACCGAGAGGATGCCGCAACGCGACCAGCTCTTGGGCGAGTGTCCCTTTCTCCTTGTCGTTAGACCGATGTATGCTGTTACTGTAACCAGCGTGACTTTTAGCAGACTTGTGCTCGCACCATGTAGAACACCACGGCAAAACTACGGCGCCTGGAACGCGTCTGATTGGCGTGTTTACCGCGCCCCAAAATAGTGGTTCCTCAATTCCCACCTGACGACGTCACAAAAATGCCGAGTCGTCGCCAACTGCGATCCTGGCGATGTCGCAGCAGCGTCGGTGGATGAGGCAGACGTCCATTCCGCTGCAGGTCGCCCTCCAGCTCGACGGACCACGAAAACTTCGGCAGCCAGGAGTTTGGACACCCCGATGACGAACCTCGTGCTCGCTTGTACTTTTTACCGAGGCTTCTATACTCGTTTTCACCTCAAGAAAAGAGGACGTTTTGTGCATTGTTCATATGCCGGGCGAAGTAGTTCTTACAAGATTTGGTTGTTGGAGGAAGAAGCGATCGTTTTGGCGTTTAAAACGTATACGTCTTGATTAGATAACATATATGTAATCTAAAATGCACCCACATATATATTAATTCTCCTCGTAAAAGGGAAAATTAGTAATGCTCCGCGAGGAGCCGGACTTTTTTTCCTTTGGTTCTTGAGGTGAAAACGGGTATAGCACCGGCCGCAGGAAACGCGACATCTGAAAACCGAACGCGCCGGCTTTTGTGGTGTTATCTGTTGCCATGTTGGGACCACGCTTGACGTACAGGCAGGGTAGGACGCTAAACACACCAGTCGAAGACGTGTTCGAGACGCCGTAGTCGCAACGAACCCTCCTCTGTGGTAGAATGTCATGCCGCTGAGTCGGGGCTGCCAAAGGCCAACAAGAATTTCACTAACATCAACTCCAAAGAGTCCTGCACAAAAGCTGACATAGTTTCTATTTGTTAAGGAAGCTCAGAAGTTAATAAATATAGTTCAATTATTTTACGCCGCCGCATTTGAGAGAAACAAAACAAACAGTTGTTTAGATACAAAACTTGAAAGTATAAAACAGAGAGGACGAGGACGGGAACAGGACATCTTTCATTTAGCAACAACATAGAATGGCACAACGATAAAACCGCCCCCCAAGGGTCTCAACGTTCTCAAAGAGGGCTGTGCAAGAGCTTCGCCAAGAACACCTAAAATTACTTGAATCGGACAAAACGGGTGTTTTTGTAATTTTGGAGGAAAGTGCTTTTAATGATAAGGTGCTTGATGCCTTGTCAAAGAATTTTGAGCCCTTAAAAACTAGGCCTTCGGGTAGACTGCGTTCGAGGGCAAAGGAACTTTGTTCCTCCTTGAACTTGACCTCTCTTAAGAACGTCATTGGTAGTCCTGCCAAACAGTATTTGTCTGTTTTCTTTACTGCAAAGACTCACAAGTATGGAGTTCCCTTCAGGAGCATAATTTCAGAAATTGGGTGTTGGCAAAAGCCTCTGGGTCGTTATCTACAAAAACATTTGTCTAATATCATCCTCCCTCAGCCTTTCAGAGTCCAAAACTCCCTTGAATTAATCCCCCGCTTCGATTCGCTTCATTTTTGTTCCATCCCGCACTCAGTTATGTCTTTCGACATTGAAGATATGTATTACAGCCTAGAACCAAAACTCATCTTTGATTCTGTGACTAATGCAATCCATGAACACGGAATTTGCGACTTTCAAAATTCCTCCGGTGTTTCGATTGAGGGCTTCATCGACCTGATAGATATTTATTTACAGTCTACTTTGGTAGAATACGAAGGAAATATTTACAGACAAAAGAAGGGAGTTTGTATAGGCTCTTGCCTTGCACCTGTCCTTAGTGAAATATTTCTTCTCTTTGTTGACAGGGCTATCAACGATCAGTTGAAAAAGTCCTTCCAGGGTTGCCTAGTTTTTAGGTATGTTGACGATTACTTGGTCATTTATCCAGATGCTGCGTCCGCTGACAGCATCTTTGAAGTTTTCAAAGGCTGTGCGGCAGGGCTTACTTTTACCCGGGAAAATCCTTCAGTGGAAGGATTACAATTTCTGGATTTACGATTGCATCCTCATTCCTCAGGTGTTTGTTGGGCCTTCCAGCAGAGGTCGGAGAAGCCAGTCCTCCCTTTCACCAGTGCTCACTCCAAGTCCGTTAAGCATGGAATAGTAATGTCACTTTTCAAGTCCTCATTCTCCAAGTCGTGCAAGCATTTCTCGGAAAGTAGCCTTAAGTTGCAGCAGCAGAGGTTAGAAAAAGCAGGCTTTCCTGCTGACCTACTTCGCTCCACCCTTGAGAGGTTCATTATTAAACCACAACTTCCGCAAGTTGTTTCAAAAAAGAAAGGTCGTTTCGCTGTGATTCCCTACATGCACAATTCCGCGCACCGTTTAAGGTCTATCGCGTCCAAGTTTGACACGAGTGTGGTTTTTTCCTGTCGTATGCGCCTCAAACAGTTGTGCAAAAAGGTTAATGGGAGCGATAGTCCCCGAGGGTGCAATGTAAAACATGCAAAAAAGTTCGTAGAATGCGAAGAAAGGAAGGTTTATTCGATTCCACTAAGCTGTGGCAGTCAGTACATTGGACAGACTGGGAGATGCGTCAACCACCGACTCAGAGAACATAACTTGGAAGCATCAAAGGCTTCAACTGAGTCGTATCACCCCATTGTCGTTCACAGCCGCACATGCGATGATTGTACACCTCATTTTTCTAATACTAATATACTGGGCGGGCACAATAACAGATTTGGAAGAGAAATCATCGAGTCATTTGCCATGGGGACTGTTAACAACAACATTTCTGCACCGTCATTATCATTGACAAAGACAGAGGTCGAATTCTTAACACCAGAGATGACTAGAATATTGACACCTCGTCGTGACGCTACAACTTTTTAAACTTTTATATTTATAGTACAATTCCCTTTTTGGACTGCAAACAAGAATAATTCCGCATTATCACTGACAATGACCAAGGTTAATTCTAAGTAATCGAAAATAACTAGATTACTGATGCGCTTTTCAAACTTTTCTTTAGTGTATTCCCCTTCCTTTATAACTAGTATCTCCTTTCCCTCTTTGAGAACGTTGAGACCTTTGGGGGGCGGTTTTATCGTTGTGCCATTCTATGTTGGTGCTAAATGAAAGATGTCCTGTTCCCGTCCTCGTCCTCTCTGTTTTATACTTTCAAGTTTTGTATCTATAAACCAACACGCTCGTTTTCAACTGTAAGTTGTTTAGGAACGACAGCATTCGGCGCCAGCGATGTGAATTCTGTAGCTACGGCACGCAGACAAACAACAGACCGTGCACGGAGGGCACACTCACGTTCTGACTTTACACGAGGAGACACTCCAGTGGACTATGTGTTGGTCGTCGGAACAGCTGAATAGGGAGTCCGACTCCGCGTGCCAGGAGAGGCCCCGGACCGCGGCTGTGTGGCCGTTGGACTGTCGGACGAAGAGGGCGACATATTAGAAACACAACGCCGGGTGCACAAGCAGGACAACATATTTCAAACAAACTAAAAAAAAAAAAGGAATGGAGAAAAATGAGTTGAACAAACAAATGAATGACCACAGGGAATGCAAACTGAGACTGAATTTGCAACTCTCAGTGACTGGAAGGTGACAACAGACCGTATTCATATTTTTGGCACCATATACCGGAAACTTCGGAAACATGATTCAACCTGCCTCAATGATGGCGGCACGCCATCCTTGTTTTGAGACGCAATAGAAGGCCACTTGCAATATCATGCATCTAGGTCAAAGTGACGCATCAACTTACTCAAAGCATTCTTCGTCAATCTGAGTGCCTCTGATGCAGCACTCGCATCCGGATTCTCAATTAGGATTCTCAGTTTCGCTGATCTGCATAAATCTTTAAAAAGAATTCCCTCCTTTGGGCTTCTTTCTTGATGCAAAATGTCTTCCCATGTTGCAAGGTTCCATGTCAGTTCTGACCGCTGCACCCCTGCCGAACACTAGCGCCTTGTACGGAGCAATCGTGAAGCTGTGCGTTTGCATAATAAACTTCAAAATTTGTGCAACGCACCTTTTTAGTTTATAAACACTCTTTGCTAGTTCGAAAGCAAGAGATTCAATGAACGCTTAATGATTGGATACTGTGATCAATAACAAACTCTGTCAATGGTCAGTGTGCGAAAAATTGTTTTTCATTTTTAAGTTAACGTTCACCGCGATTTTGAAACTCCTTGTCCAGAATTGGGTAGGAATGCAGATGAGGAGGACCTTCGAGGCTTGCAGCCCGGCATTTTCAACCATGTGCCGATAGGCGGCCCCCAAAATGCATAAGGCCTATCGTATCCCCTAATAAATTGAAACCTTCAAAATAAAGACATTTGCTTACACCTTCCTAGTGTAAAAATATAATGGAGGCTTTAAGATTACTCATATTTAACAAAACAGTATTACTTACAAATCGCAGATCTAACCTCACACCGCTGCTCAATGTCAATCATCAAGATGACAGCCATTTTAACAGATGCCAGTGCATTTCCTACATGTAGTGAAAGTTGAGAATTCGAGCAGACAAGGTCTGTCCTGCAGACGAGCTTAGTGTATTTCGTACACTAAAAAAGCCGACACGACAACGGGCATGCAAACTGATAACACTGCTTTCGGGGAACTAACATATGCTTTGGTTCTTTATCACACCATACCATTCGAGGGGATGGGTCTGTGTGAGTTTGGGGGGGCTTCACTTGGGCATGCCTGCACTGATGCATGCACTGCGTCCCATATTGTCAGATAAGAGTTAAGAATGCACCAGAGGTTTCTCCCACACCCCCATTATCGCCAACCACTGTTTCTCTGCAATGCACAGATAGGTCACGACCGAAGTTCACGAAAGGCCGACATTGCATAGCTCACTGTGGCTACTGTCTTTTCTGGTTGGTTTACAGCGCGATTCAACACCACATAGCTGGCACATTGAGATATTTCATAGAAGCCAACAAGACAATATGAACATTTGAAGAATTACTTTAATTAAAGCTGTTATTTTATGCTAGCTCATGAAATCTCTTGAATTGAAACTGTACCCCTCCTCTCAAATGCTGTAAAGATTGGAGATTTTATTTTTATTTTTGGGGGGGAAGGGGAGGGGGCGGTTATCTTTTTAGCAGCATCTGCAACTTTCCCCATTAACTTGCATGCAGGCAATTCTGTACTGAAGTGGTTTTTGGTGGGTGTGAAATGCACAAGCATGGTGAGTGGCTTCATTGAAGAACTCAAGTACAAACGGGAACATATTTAGGCAGCATAAGCCTATGCTTCTACCACTTCGTTTTTAATTTCGGAGTCACTCCGGTGGCATCTATTGCAACCATTTTGGCTGCCAACTGGTCGGCCTATCGGTCGCCAGCTCGTTTTAAGTTCAAATAAAGACTGGTATGCATAACACTTGAGAGCCAGTCGACACCCCTTTATTGTTCCAACTACCCTGACTGGTACAATCGATCGCGGCCCGAAATAACTCGAGCAATCTGAAAAGTGCTACCTCCGCGCATGGAGAAGCATAAGGTGGAAGTTCATCAACACGGAGGTTTGACGAGGTTTCAAGCCCGAAGTGAGTTATGGGAGGCCTCCCTTTTTGTCGCAGTCAGGGTGCCAACAGCAGGGCGTCTTCTTCAGACCCCTTACCTCCAGTTCAGTTCGGAACGCGACTCAATCGACAAAAATCCTCTAAGCACCCATTGCCTTCCACTGTGCATGCTGAAAGCACACGAGACGCCAAAGTGTCGTTGAAGGTAACAAGCTCACGCTGGAGGTGGGACAATTGACAGACCTCTCTGCGGTTCTCGTCCTGTCGGCAACTAGGCAAAGAGAGGGAGAGGGGGAGATGAAAGCGCGCGGGGATGTTAGAGCGTCGAGCTCCGATTGGAGGGATTAGCGGGTAGACACAAAGATTAGCTGCCTTTGTCTCTACTCACTGTTGGAACGCAGAACAATGGCGTCCGGCGTTTGAACATGAGACACTGTGCGAGGAGCAGACGACACCCTTGATTGCCCTGACTGGAGGGAGAGAGTGAGCATAGACAAAGGCAGCCAGCTTTTCCGTCCACCGACTAGCTCTTCCAGCCAAAGCTCGGTGCTCCGACGTCCCCCACGCGCTTTCGTCTTCTCCTCAGTTTATCTCCACATACGCCCAATGCCGACTCGACGTTTGAACCAAAGCACATGCTAAGGCGCTGGGGCACTGGGGATGCGCTTTGTGTCCGTGGCTTGTCGTCTTCCAAGGCCGAAGCACTCACCAGCTCGGAGTGGAGGTCCCCTTTCGCTACGCTGTAGAGCACCACGGTGCCGGAAGCGGTGCCCATTGCCAACAGCCCAGCTTCTGCGATGGCACCTGCTGCTGCCGTGTCATTGGAGCTCGTCCTGGGCCGCTTTTTCTTCTTTGGAGATGCCTGAGGGGCAACGGCACAAAACGAGCGGTCACCATCGCGGCAGGCCCAGGCCAAAAACAATGCACTTCAGACAAAGCAGCGTCGCCAGCTGGTGTGTCGTAAGGCTAGGCAAACACGAAACCTGTGGAGGCGATATACCAATGTGCGGCTCTTGCGTCACTATGACGCGTTGGTGCTGCTTTTGGCTTGGTGCACATGCAGACACTTCGTCTAGCGCTGATCTGGTTTCTGCACATATGCAGTGCCCACACCCAGTGTGAAAAAACGGGGGGGGGGGGGGGGGTACGAGAACATTGCACTGGCGTACACAGAAATTAGAACCCCTCAGCGTGTTTGCGTTTGTATTGCAAGTGGCGGTGCACGAGGCCCGTGTCTTGTGCGGCCCTTGGAAGCATATGGCGGCACAGCACTGAAATAAGTGGCCCTTGAAAGCGAATGGTGGCGGAACATCCGCTCGTGGCACACGTCGTGCACGTTTCCACAACAATGGTTGGCAGTGCTAGTAAAAAAACACGCCGAAGACACTTAAAAGGGCACTGAAGTCATTTTTGAAAGAGGTCGTTTTTGATCTTATATTGCTTGAATGTGTTAGTTCCCACATACACCAAGTGCTATATTACAAAACTGCCTATTCATCTCAGGGCAATAGAAACACATGTTTTTTTGTTTTTTTTTCTCGCAGACTGTGGACTAATGAAAGCCCTACAATACGTGCAGATTTCGAATGATATTTTATTATAACTCGTTCTGAAGAGTCTGATAGGTACACAATCGGATAAGACTTTTTCTCCGCGGTCGAAGCCATCGCTTGCAACTGGCCGACAAGCACCCTTCGTCGAACACTTCACTCTGAAGAAAATTCTTCCCACAAAGGGCGTGCCCCAAACTTTGAACACGCTTTTAACGAGGAAATAAGCTATGAATGATTGTGATTTCAGGTTTGTTGGGATGCTTAGAGCGTCTAGATTGAGCTGTCACCACAAAAGGACGATCTCAACATTGACTTCAGCGTCCCTTCAAGACTGCTTATCTGTAGGAATGCGAAAGCATTACAGTCCCACGGGTGAAATGTTTTGCTCCGTTGGTCACATCACGCTCCCCCACTGCGCAGGTGCGGCGCCCCCGCCGGCTTTACGGCTTCTATGACAAAGCATCTGCGTTGCTGCTTTTTTTTTTGTTTTGTTTTAAGGTGACAGTCTTTCTTGTTCCATTACGCGCAAAAGCGGCCGCGTTGTGCCTAAAAGGTAGTCACACCAACACGTCATCGAGCACATGCCTCAGAAATAAAACACAAAGAAAAGCACAGAGATGCTTCGTCGTGGAAGCCGGTGGGGTTCGCCGTGCTGCACAGTGGGAGAGCATGATGACACCACCGGAGCGCCATGTGAAAAAGGAAGGCATGGTGCGCTGCTCGTAGGAATGTTTTTCTATTTCTACACGTAAACAGTCTTAATATATCTGCTGAATTTTTTTTATTTCTGAGGTGTGTCTGCTTTGACTTTGAGCGGCACATGCTTGATGAGAATTTTTATGGCCATCTTTCGGGCACAACGCCGCCGCCACCGCCTTTTTCCATAATGGGACATATATAAAACACTCCTACACCAAGGGGCTTTAGCTGACATGTTCTGAACGATGCCTTATGACATGTTCCGTCTGCAACAACAACAGCAACAGAAAATAATTCAATGAGGAAATTAAGTTGGATATTTTCATGCATGTTTTGAAAGGTCCAAAGTGACGTGTTGGCGTCTGTTTTGGTGGAGGCAACTGAGTCCACCAATCAGATGCCAATATGTCACCTCCGTGACGTTTTAAAATGGACATGTAAATGTCCAACCTAGCCATCCAGGATTTGCCTCGCGTCACGTCACAAGTTGTGATCCAGGCTGCCCATCGCCAGTTTCGAGCGACGAATTCGATGGAGTGCATAATCAGCAAAGCGCAAGTAATTGGAGAACGCTGTCGAAATTGACAAGCCGACAATGCTCTCATGCCCGTGGCGTGGCCAATCGTGGAAAGCTGACCACAACGCTTTTGGTCTCGCACATCGCTAATAACCGCCGACAGTTTAAGAAACGGAGGACGTGGCAACCACCGGTCACCTTATTATCGCCCTTCAGCGAATGAGACATTAGCCAGTTAAAAAGCAAAAGAAAGAGTCGCGAAGCAAAAAGAGTGAACATAAGCCACTGTACCCGTGGAAGATGCATCATCATTTTGAAGCTACCGACTCGATTTATCCGGGTACAAGTGCCACCAGGGTGATTCAAGGCGTATTTACTCGCTCATTTAACGGACACGCTTTATTGAGAGCGCTCTTTCTTCGCTCCATTACGACCGCGCAAGTGCGCCGGTGGTTGACGGCGCAAAAGCCGTATTGCCAACATCCGAAGCACATGGCCCGTATGCCAAAACGACGAGTTCCGGCCCGGTGGAACCGATTGAAGGGCACTCCCACTAGTCGCGTGCAGAGGCAGTTTGGTTACGCTTGTCATCCGTGCGTGTTGGAACACACGGCAACGTTTCCTCGCGAATGTCGGCGTAAAAGCGCATTTCGGCGGGTCGAATGCCGACAGGGCACTTACGAAGTCGTGCCGCGTAGGTCCCCACGACAGGCATGTGCACGTCGCGGACAAGTGCGCACTGGGCGTGTACTCTTGCTTGAGCTTGCCACTGGTGCCTTCCCACAGTTTGAGTCGACCATCGGGGCTCGAGTACGCCAAATATTCGCCGTTATTAGAAAACTCGACGGGCTCCACGAGAGCCGCCATATTTTCCCGCACACACGTGAACCCAAGATGGCATCCGCGCATGCGCCACATTGAACTACCCTCGGTAGCAGTGACCGCAGGGACCCGAGAGAATACTTGATTTCCGGTTCCGGAATCTGGCGGAAAATGAATCACTGGGCTAGAGAGCCTAGATTTAGGAGAGAAAGCAACTCAAACAATCAAGTCATTCAAGTATACACAAAACGTAAGTTTACCCGAAGAAAAAAAACAACGTAGTTTATGGACGTTCTTTGTGTTTTTCCGGAGGGTTTGTCGTGTGCGTACCTGCGCATGCTTCTCACAGCTGACTGAGGGAAGAGGCATTGGGGAAAAAGAGGCTCAGATTTCTTGCGCAGATCGGTTGAGATGCGCATCGCTCAACGCTTTCGGCACGGCCAACGAGGCACGCACGGCCCACAAACCACGTGACCCCAATCATGCAGTTGGAAAAACTCACAAATCTAGGCACACTATTTAGTTCTTCGGATGCGTTCTGTCGCTTGTTCGCTCGTCCACACACAGCCTGCGATCTCCGCAAACTATGCGTCAATTAAGAAAATCTGCGTAGCACGGCGTAACAAGCCCAGTGGGTTGCGTCGCTCTTCGATTTGTCTCTCCCTCTATCCGGCGCGCGTTGACATCTCGTGATCGGGGCCGGAGCGATGAAGGAACGATGACCGTGCGTCAGTGCGAAGCCGTGGGGAGCTCCCGTGAACGTGACAGATGTGAACCAAAAGTACCGTGACGGGTGAGACAAAACCCCACCGTACGCCTCCGAACCTCGGCGTCCAGACATGGCAGACGAGGTGCCGACGTACAGGCGACATCTGAGCACCTCGCTCGCTCTGGGAGGCAACCAGCGGCCCCGCAGCTCTGAGAACGATCGCGACGCCAGGCTGTTCGCTGCCGACGAAGTGTCCGCCAGCGCGGAGGAGCCCCTACTGAGCCCCGAAGGAGACCAGCCTTTCGTCCTACCCGTCGACAGGCAAGCAACGCTAAACCCCAAGCTTCTCTAAGCGGTTTCTTCTGTGCTAGGGAGTGGAAACCTTGTTAAATGTTGTTGGGTACTTTGCATGCCAAAGTAACTCGGCAGCATAATTTTTTTTTATAGGTCCAAGGTGGCATTTTTTTTTCAGTACTTTTCTCGAAAAAGCTCCCCGTGAGGGTCAGCTGTTTCCCAACAGCTATGGCTTGCAGATGACGTCATCGCGCCATGCTTCCACGAAACTGTCGCGCCGGGAAAAAACAAATTCGCAATGTACGCTGCAGAAGGTATAGCGCTGAGCAGCAAAGCTACCACTGTGTCAACAGATGTCGCGTCGGTGGAAGGGGTGATAAACTAACCTGGTTTGCAAAAACGAGCTCTTGCGGGTAATATGGTGAAACTATTGCTTTTAGTTAGGACAGTATTTCTTGACCATGCATAGGGGATGTTCACTGGTGACGGCAAGTTTTCACTCAGTGCTTTTGCAACATGCGTCTAACACCATTGAGATTCCAGGTCTTAGACCCTCTTTAGATGGAGCAATTTTTCTTCGCAACTTGACGTCGCTAGACCAGCAACACGGGCCCTCCGCGTTCACATGCTGCAACCGAATTGCTACTATTTGCCATCATCGTTATTAAATTTCAATGTTCTTGGACTATCTAGACACACAGTTACTCACTAAAAATCTATTCTTAAATCTTTAAAGGGCAACTCCGCTCAATTCCGAAGATTTCGGGATAATGAGTGATTTCGAATTAAAAAGCCCCAGTAAAAGACACTACGTCGTTTGCTTCGCGAAAAATGGGATATATATTTTTAAATCTAATTTTAAACACGAGCGGAAATCGAAAACGAAACTTCGGCTCCGTCCGGCAACATTGGCCTCGGGCCGCCAAGTACATGGCCATCACGTGGTACGAGATGTCACGTGATCCTCGGCCCAACAACGGGCGGGATGGGGGCGGCGGGCGTGCGGCAGGCGCGAGTGTCGTCTGCACCGCACTCTTCGCCACGTTTTGGTGTCTACGGCATTCGACGACGTCTGCACAACTGCGGCATAAGTCTGCGACTCTGCGCACGTGGTGTCCGTAGTGTGGACGAAACTCCGAGAGGCAATAATCACAAACGGTGAGACGACGACGGTGGTTGTGACGCGGAAGACGGCGGTAACGGCGGAACCACGGCGGGCGGTTGGTGTGCTCCCAAGAAGCGCGCTGCGCAGGCACGTACGCCAATCACGTGGACACCGCTGAGCACCGAGAGGCAACGTTGCTGACGTCATGCGCTACGCTCGATCGGAGAAGTAAAAACAAGCAAAAGGGGGCCATGATGATGACGTTTAGCTCAATGTTGGCTCCGCCCATGCCGTAGCCTTGACTGCGCTGTTGGTTGCGCCTAAATTCGCCCGCTCGAGTCAGCCGATTTCGGCAACTTGGCAAGTTGCAAAGTTTGCCGGACCGTTTAAGAAACTTTTAGACAGAACTGCGTCGTAATATTTGACGTGTGGTCTTCCTAGGCGATACTGAAGAGGACTGCATTGTTTTTTCAAAACCAAAAATGAAGCGGAGTTGCCCTTTAAATGGTGTTGAGAATACTAATTTAATTTTCTGAAACGATTTATCCCCAAAAACAATTCATTTCAAACCCGTGCCACACGGGCAACTCGAATGCCATTTACAGCGAATGACATTTGAACGATCGGCCAATCAGCGCGCGACACTCCGAGCGTGGGGCGTTCCACGCGTGACAGATCGCGAGCCGATTCGTCGATCACACGAATGTCATTCATTGTAAATGGCATTCGAGTTGGTCATGTGGCACGGGTATACGTCTTTAGTTGTCATCATCACCACCACAGGGATGTCACGTTAAAATATTGTAACCCATGATTGGCTGCTACTGCTTCAAACCTCTCCGAGTCGGCAGTTGCTCGTCCATTTCGAACCGGTCTCGAATCCAGCAATTCGTGTTACAGCGTGGGGACCAAGGGAGAGCAAAAGAGCAACTTGCTGACAACACCAAAATCACTGGGGAAATATCCCAGTCTGAAGCGCCATATTTTAGCTAAGTTTGTTTTGAAAATGGCGCGGCAGTTTCGTGGATAAGTCAGTTTATATGTGGAGCCTTGGATCCGCCCCATTTGAAAAGGCCGCAATGGCTGTTGGGTCTGTGACGTCCTTCGCCCAACAAGCGACGTCCACTTGCATGCGATCGCAGACTTGGCTCTCCCGGTGTCTCGCACTTGTGCTTCCTCACCTTCGGTATTTTGAGCACGCAGTTTCAAGACGATGATAGCTACGGCGTCGCTCGCTTCATCGGAGTCTCCGACACTGATCGCAATAGAGATGAGAGTGATTGTTATTGAGAGATGTTAAAAGCTGATCATATTGACTTCGACCCACTGGCAATCACTACGAGATTGTCACGGACAAGCTCACTGTTGTTGCCGTCGTCCACGATGACCTCGCAGGTACACGCAATGCAGGGTGGAAGGGCAAGGGGCAAGTGCGAGAGTAGTATTGGAGTAGGCGAGTAGTGTGGGAGTCTGCGATCGTATTGTGGCAAGGTGAGCTTGGGCGAACATGGGGCGCCTAGAATGAGAGGGCGTTCATCTCAATGTCATGATCCCATGGTTTATGGGCACCATGGTGCGACTAACTTGGGCAGTGTTGCCTGGTCGCCAGGCAAAAATGATCAGCATTTGTAAATTGATTATTGCAATCACTAGAGATCTAAAAATTGTGGAACTTGATGTATATAGTGAGTAACCTATGAGTATTCCACTTCAAGAGTAATCTACCCCGTTTTAATTTTCGTGTCCTAACCTCTCTAAATGGCCGTTTGCATGAAGCAGGTGGCACATGACTTACATCTTTGTTTAAGCTGCACTTGTATATTTGCCGAACCGGCACCGCAAAATTTTATTGATGAGCCTCAAATGTGCAAGATGTGATTGCTGCATGTGCACTGTCATTTCAAACATTCTCATCAACGAATGAAACGAGAGATATAACCCCGAGGCAGATTTGCACAGCTAAGGTGCATACACAAAGAAAAAATTGCATATTATTCGCACCGGCGTGAATTTTGTAAAAACAATTGTGACTTATGCATTGGAAAATGCGGTAATTTAGATCGGAGATTAGCGGATGAAGAAAAAGGGGACAAACATAGAGTCCTTAGCGTTCCGTCGACACTCGTTTCTTGGAATTACGTTTCGTAGATTACTTTTCATAGACACACATTCGTCGACGCTAACATTTCATTGACACTTGTTACAGAAGTTACACGCTGTAGGGACATTTGGTCGTGTGTGTATCACTGGAATTCATGTTAATCCATCTGACCCCCCCCTATCCCCCCCCCCCCCCCCCCCGTTTATGTCGCTTCACGGTGACAGTTTGTGGCAGCTCATTACAAAAATGTTAACCCATTTTGATCCACACTATTAAAAAATTTTAACCCATTAAAAATGTTTACCACACCATCAAAAATGTTAACCCATGAAATTGCACCACACTGCCGCCGCGAAGCAGCGACAGTGTGGTGCAGCTTAATACAGAAAAAAAGCTAATCTGAGCTGTTGATATAACGATTTGTTGATGAAACAATCTGTCGATGAAACATCGCATTTTGATAAAACATGTTAAATGAACTGATTGCCACCAACCAATACACACGTCTTAAATGCAGCTGAGTAAATTTAATTGAAAGATCATGTTCATACACCACTCCACTCCCTCGTACAACATTCGCCGATTTTGCATACATTCACGCAGCCACTCACCACAACATTCCATCGCTGTGTCCTCCATGCCTCAACCATTGGTACAATATTCAGACATGCAAAAGCAGTCTCAAAGTCAAGCTAACTTTGCAGACAAAAGCGATCAAACTACAGACTGTATGCCATCCTGGCCCCTTTTCTCCCTACCTCACAAAAACAAAAACCTTTGGCTTACGTACACCCAAAGCAATTGAAGGTTGGCTGATGCAATTTGAAGAGTGTGTGCCATCTAGTGACTACTGCACAAATTATGCAAGTTCCACATCAGCATTCAGCGAGGCCTTGGGTTCAGTCACACGGTCTGTGCCCAAGAAATGGCAACCGTCAGGGTTGCTTGATGGGGTTTTGGATAGAGTTTATTGCACAAAGTCACAATATATTGTCTCTTTCAAAATCCTTTTTGAACGGTTTTTCTCTCTGCTTAACGCTGTATGTAGTGCTCTCCTACGCAGGAAAACAGTTATTGCACTCTTCCACCTGTTCTTTGCATTTTCTGAACATTATTCTTAACAGCCCTCATGTGCACGAGTGACCTTCCACTTCAGCAACACAGTGTTTGCCCGACATGAGAGAACACACAGGCCATTGGAATGTCGTAAACTACACAAACCTGCATTTGGCATTCTATGGGGGCTTCCCTGTGCCGTTTCAGACATGCTTGTAATCATTGGCACTATAGATATCATTGGGGATAGTTATGAAGTGCACCTTCCCTTCACAAATTTTTAATGTTTTCTACTTTAATGTTTTGAGCCACGAAAAGGACAGGTTGTCCCCAATTCAAAAAAGCAAGATTGCCATTATTACACACCATTACGGTGTTAGGGGAGAAGAATCACATAAATGACTAGGACAGGACGACACATTGCTATTCATCATTTATGTACTTCTCCTCCTCTAACACCGTAACATTACTAGCCCGCTCCATTTCCAAGGGTACAAATCATGATAGGCCGTCTTTTTTCTTTCTTTTCTGATACCTTTATTGATCCTCCCCAGCTCCCATGCACTCCGCTCCTTTGTTGGTAACCCTTGGAAACCCTATACTCAGTTCGCCCCTAGGCTGACATTGCATTGGAGCTACGTCTTGCTGGACCAGTCGGACGCGTCCCTTTCATCACTTTACCCCTCTCTGTGCATGAACATGGGCAGGAGCGGCTTAGCGTGGCAAAAGATAGCAGTATAACTAGTCCAACGAGCACACAGCTTCCACTGCACTGTCAGCTAATGGGTGTACGGGGTTTGAGGGGTGATGCATAGAGTTTGAAGGGTGATGTTCAGAGTTTGAAGGGTGATGTTCAGAGTTTGAAGGGTGACGTACGGAGTTTGAAGGGTGATTTACGGTGCTCGGAGGGTAATGCTTGGAGTTTGAAGGGTGAAAGGGTGATGTATGGCATAGAAAAAAAAGCCCCTAGGCTGTTGCTTTGACTGATTGACTTTCTTAAACTTATTTTGTGAGAGTCTTAGCCTCATCTGTTGGTGAGATGAGAGAAGTTGCAAACAAATCTTTTCGTTCTACTTTCTAGATCTGCACATGACTCTTTGACTGCCAAAGTTATTGAGTAGTCTATTTGCTCATTGGTCAGCTGTTTTGAAGGAGGCCGATTGGCGTGTTTCAGAGTTTAAAGGAGGCTAGTGTTCTGCTCAAATATGGATCCCCTACACATAGTGCCGGGGATCCATTGTTTTCTGACGGATGCAATGGGCAAGCGTGTAAGCTTGGCAGGCTTGCAGCCATGCCACTCGGCATGCACAAGCAAATGCGTGCCGAGGATAGTGTCAGCTCCCCTGACAACCTAAAAGCTGAGTGAACAGACACTTTTTTCTTCGTTTTTCTAGTACCGTATCTCCTGGTCTGTAAGTCGCATTCCCCCACAAATGAGTGTTTTTGCTAGAAATTTTGTAATACGAGTCTCACCCTTGGTGTCTCTGTGTGGGTCGCATATGTATATTTGTAGGCTCGATGTGGCAAAACTTCATTAAAAAGCGTGCATGTATATCGTGATCGCGAGATATGCACTAATGCGTAGGCAACATTCTCATCAATGAATTGAATAAAGAATGTAATCCTTGCAAAAGTTAAGGCACAGCTTGAAGAAAAAAAACTCATATATGGCACACTGTTGTGTAAGATGCTCCAACAGAATTTTAGTGGAAAACCACGGCTTTTACCCTGGAAAATATGGGAGTGTGATACTTGTGGTGGGGATGCCACAACTGTCATATATAGACAGTACGAGTTTTGACAACCATGGCATCCGTTCCTTTGACAACTAGGAAAAAATTGGAATGGAAAAAGTTCTTGCTTTGTCATTGAAGTAATGTGACACTTGTGGCGTGGTTTGGCACTTGGTGTGGGTATTAGAGGACGAGTAATTGGGTTGAGCATATTTACTTAGCTTCTGTTGGGCTGCACACTGAACGTTAGCCCACCCCTCTTTTCCATCCCGTAACACCATATTATGGTATTAGGTATGTTCATAGTGCAGTATTACGGATCTTTTCCATTACATAATGCCATATGGCAATATTATGACCATAGATTATGTTGCAGACCTCCCTGTAAGTAATACCATGGTGTAATGATCATAATAGAAAATACGGACCTTTTCTTCCGATAATATTTTATATTAGGCTATTATACCCGTAATACAGTGTTACAGATCTTCATTTCATAATACCAGATTACAGTCGATACTGTATCACAATACCATATTACAAACCTTTTCCACCCTATAATGGCATATTGTGTTACGGTCACGCCGGTAAGGCAATCCAGAGATTTGTAGGGGAGGCAATTGTTTTGCCCGTTTCACTCTTTTGTGGAAATGCTGCTGACTTGCTTCCCCTTCTTTTCTTTGTTGCAGGTATTCTTTCGTGAAGAATGTTTTCTTCCTGCTTGGCATCGTCGTCCTTCTACCCTGGAACTTTCTGGCCACTGCCAGCGACGTGAGTTTGCACCTTTGCCATCTTAAGTGGGTGCAGTTCCGTTGCCCTAAATTACGGGTTTTTAAGCAAGGTTCCTGGGAACCTAGAGGCCCTTCCAAGAACCTTTGAGGGTTACCAGAGCTCCCAGGTTTTTTTGCTCGTCCCTGCACCTAGGTAAGGTATACTCCCGGCTTAAGGCATTGTTCATTTTCTTATCTCGTTTTGTTTTCTTTTAGACAGGGTCTGAAAGAGGGGCTAGTTCAAAAGGCTAAGAAGCCTGGTGAGGTACCTGTCCCTTATAGTTAGGGTCCCGTGTTTTCTGATAAACTAAAAAAAACAAATTCGAAAACACTTGCCGGTAAATTTTTCGTCCATTTGGATTTATCCGGAAAACTCAGAATTTCGAGGTTGCAACGACAAGATAAAAAAAGCAAATAGGACTGGGTTTTACAAATCAAGTTCATAAGAGCACAGTGTCAGTGGTCCTGGAGAGATGCCACTTCAGTTTCGTTTGAAATCTAGATCTATTGACAAAGGGGGTTTGCCTTCAGCATGTCAAGGTTCCTTCAGGACAATGGGTCATAGTACCGAGAATTTCTTATTATATTGTTTGAATATATAAGAACATAATAAAATAAATTCAAAAATTCAAAGAATGGGGAATTTAACAAAAATAAACCCAAAATTTTCTGCAAAAATAAACTCTGAAAATTACCCTCTGAATTTGACGAGAAATAAACTCGGAAAACATGGAATCTCGCTTATAGTTCACACAAGTACTTGCATAAATGGATGGGAAAAATCCATTCAGCTGTAAGTCAGAAAACTCACATTGTGACCGGCATCTTTATGCTACGGTATAGACCTTTTTTGCATACTCTCGTCCCCAGCCACCTAATAGGCGTATCCGGTCGGGGCGACGAAAAAATAATAAAACGTTTCAACCTGTAAATAGTAAAAATATAGAGGGGAGGCAAAACGAGAACGTGTGACAGTTACACTTATATCCTAAATGTTTTCGCCCATACGGGAAGTGACGACAATTCAAGATGGCAGCACCCTTGTGAAAAAGGTCTATACATAACTAACAAGAACAGAAACGATGCAAACTACGGAAAATGCAGGTATGATGGAATGTGTGGACGTAAACAGATAACTGAAAACATCCAGCAGCATAAAAAAAAACAAAAAAAAACTGCATACATTTTTTTTAAATATACGATACAGCATGGTTTTTATTTTATCGAAACTTGATATTACTACATACCAGTGGTACTTTACATTCTTTTTAAAATATCCTGAATGGTTGTGTACAGTTTATATTGGGTGTACCTTTAATTAAAGGGGCCCTGCAAGGACGTTTTTACTGGTTTTTAATTTGCACCGAACCTGAGCACACTGAATGTAGTAACTTAATGAAACCTTTCTTTTTTTCAAATTTCGCTTTAGTTTAAAAGTTATAGACAAATTAAAATTACAAAACAAGCAAAAAATAACCTCCTTCATGACGTCCTTGGTTGCCTGAGTGACCGTGAACTAGAGAAGGGTAGTGAGCTCAGCGAGTGCTCACGGTTGCTGCACTCCGTGTCGACGGCTCAAGAGGGCGCCACTAAAGCATGTTCTGGATAGGCTGTATGAAGCGGGCAGCCAGGGCGGCTCGAATTGCATTTGCTGCGTGATTAAACACTGATTCGGCATGATAACACTTCATTGGCCACAAATGACAGCAAACACGGGGTAAAGATCAGTTTAGAACGGGGGCCACTTCTCGCTGCCATACCGCAAAACGGCCAAACAGCAAGCCAAGCCTGCGCTGAAGGCCTTCGGAATGCTCAGAACCGGTCGAATCCTCGAGTCCGTAAACGACCGCAGCGCCGCCTCATACATCCGGGACCTCTCTGCGCTCGTGGGAGCCTGATCCCACTATTCCTTTCTAGTATGCGCTGCCTTTTTTACCGCTTGGTGCCGCGTATGTCGACGGGCCACTTCTGGTTTCCGGACTTTATGAACTGTATTTGTTTCTTTTCTGATTTAAAATACTGATCAAAAACTGTTTTCATAAATAATTGAAACGGTTGGCGCCACTTATATTTTGTATTTCGACTAAAAATAAGGTTTTAGCAGCTCTGACCAGTAGTAAGCCCAGGACCAAACACCTCACATTCCGCGCGCTTTCGGTACGGCGGTTTGCCCCCGTCGGTGGAGGAGGTTTCCGCCTCGTCCGGTTAAAATACGACGCACTGATATTTAGTTACTCTCTCCGTGCCCACTGGCTTGCCCGAACCCCAAGAGGCGTGGAAACCGCAAAAAAGGTAGACGCTTAAATATGATTGCAGGGCCCCTTTAAGTTAATTGTTTAAAGGGGCGGTGCAACGATTTTCAGACTTTGGCCAATTAACTACGGAAATTAATCTGCGTCACCTATGGAACGAAAAACAGAAAACCACATTTTCTTGTGAGCGCTAGTTCTTATTTTAAAAAAATGAAACAAATCGAAGGTCGAAGTGCCTCTCAACTCTCCACACCGACTTTCGAGTGACATACTTCGGGGGTTCACGTGGTTTCCCCTTGGGCCCTCTCTTCAGAGACCCCAGCCGCTTTCTCCGCGATTGTTGACTTTTAAAGGATTAGCCTCGTCGAAGGTCGCGGCGAGTGATCGACACAAAGGACGTTTCGCCACGGTGTTGACAGCGAGTGTAGCAGCGGAGGGGGACAGGTTTTGTTGACTTTGGCTTCCGCGTATCCCCCAGAGACGCCGTCATTTTAGTTCTCGTAGCCGCCACAGGTGGCTGGAGATCGGCAAATAATTGTTTTTTGCTTTGCGATTACGCAGCAGAATAGCAGTTTTTCAGGGTAAGGTGACGCGTTTTTGGTCACTTGGGCTTGTATAAACAATATAAAAAATGCAAACTGGCAATTCTTTCAACATTAAAACCATTGCACTGCCCCTTTAATACTGTGAACTCTGCTTCTCGTAATTTGTCCGGGTATTGGGTTTAGAAGATTTGAGCCGGCCATTGATGCATAACCATCTGGCAAACATTCCTTAGTACATTCATTCAACTTTACAAGGTCTGTGGGCTTCTGCTGTATTTCATTGCTTCACTGCCAAGACCCAAAAGAGAGATAGGCGTCGCTCGAGGTCGAAAAGCTTGAGGATGTCTGCTCAAACTCATGCGCTATGATTTCAATTGGTTTATAGTATTTTTGCTAAAATTGGGTTTTGATTATGTTTTGAACAATGGTGCAAAATTGACTTGTACATATCTGAACTTATTCCGATTATAGAGTATTAAAATTCTTGAACGCTCGAAAAGCTGCCTATAAGTTTATCTGTGTGGCCCACCTAATAGTAATATCATACTTTAAACAGCCATCAACTTTTTGATGTCATTTTTTTTTAGGAAACATTGCACTTTCACCGCATTCTTTTTAACTGGTGGCAGCCCATCTTCAAATTCCTCTCTTATGAATGTCTCTTTCAGTTGCGACGAAGCTCAGCTAGCTCGGGCATGCAAGAACTTTAGACTAATTAGTTTTGTCTTTATGAGGTATACTGCACTGCAAAGTTACGCTGAACACATAAACACGTAAACTATGAGACAATATGGTAGACAGATAAGAACATGACATACTTGTGAAAGTGTAGACTAACAACTGTTTCTTTTTCGTTTATTCTTTTTCCTTCTTCATACCCTATGTTTTGAAGGATGAAGAATGCCTGATAATTCTTGGAGTTGGAAATGAATGTCATTGTAGGCAATTGTAGGACACAGGTGTTTTAGAAAATGAGGAAATGCTGAAGTTTTGGATGACACATGTGTACCTGAGAAATCGTGGAAAAGGCTGGGGCGATTGATGTATTTTTGGTCACTTGTAGACATTTCGTATTGATGCTGTGTGTATTTATGCTGTAGGTACCCTGAGCTGATATTGCCCTGTTGTGCTGCGGGATCTTTTTATGCAGTTTTATTTCTTTTTATTTGAAAGTTATTGAGGGTTCACTAATGCACATGCCATGCCTTCGTAAAGCCATGTGAAAAGTTTTCATGATTTCACGCTTGGTCATGTCTCTTGATCCATCTAAGATGGCTGTAGTTTGAAAGAAAGCTCGAAAGGGGCGGATAAGGCCACTCTTCATGTTTTTCTGCAATCTTTTTTATCCTATGCGAAAAATTGTGGGGGTATGGCAGCACAACAACTGTTTTTTTTTATCTACATTCCTTCTCCTTGTTTTTACCTTTGCCTGGGAGTGTGTTTATGCATTTTTCTGCTATAGACACCACGAGGGGTTTTGGATCACCGCTTGCTTGTAGTTGGCTTATCTGTATTTGTAGGCCACCTGGCACTCTGTGGAAACACGATTTTCTTATGGCTTGCCAGACACAACCTGAGGCGACGCTCCTTTTCACTGTGTACTCCCTTGACCTTCTTCCTGATCTTTGTACATGTCATGTTTATCATTTTGTTAATCGAAAACCATACCATAAAATCATCCACGTATCTGAAACACCTCACCACTCCACTCTCCTGGAAAGACTGCTGTAATGTCCTATTGCCTCGTGCGATGTAAATGTCGCATAAGACTGGTGCTATGCATGAACCTACCGTAAAGTTCCGAGAGAACGCCCGCCCCCGAGAGATCGCCCATCCCGTTTTTCTAGCTAAATATCTGTAACATCAAAATTCTGAAACATCGCCCACCCCCCGGATTTCCGTCGAAGGTCACGCAATGTCCGACGGGAATAGCATCAACCGTGCAATTTGCTGTACCGGCACGTCTGACAAGCGAGTTTATAGCGGGTTCCCACGTTTTTTGTCCGCGATCTGCACACGCGATATCGGCTCCCGTAACACATGAGTTGTTCCCACATGCATGTCGCACTATGAGCTGCGAATCCGCTGCGTCCGCAATCTGCGGTATCCGTTCGCGTAACATAAAGTGTTTAGTGGATTCCCGCGTTTTTGTCCACGGTCTGCGTGTGTGATCTCCATTCCACACGAGTTGGTCCCATGTGTATATTGTATCGTGAAATACGATTCTGCTGCGTTCGTGACCTGCGGTATTTGTTCCCGTAACATACGAGTTTCTAGCGAATCCCTGCCTTTTTGTCCGCGATCTGCGCACGCGATATCAGTTCCTGTGACAGGCAAGTTTGTATCGGGTTCCCACGGGTGTATTGCATCTGCTGCGTCCATGATTTGCAGCATTCGTTCCCGTGAGATGCAAGTTCTCGGCGGGTTTCTGCAGGTCCTTCGCACCGTTAAACGCGAATCTGCTGCGTCCACACATTGCAGTATCTGTTCCCGTGACACAAGGGTTCGTAGCGAATTCTCGCGTGTTTATCGCATCGTGAAACTCGAATCTGCGGTATCATTTCCTGCGTCATGTGGTTTGTAGCCGGTTTTTGATAAACTTTTGCTGTAATGTCCCCAAAGATAGCCCACCCGATGTTTTTCACCATTTATCTGTTCATTTTGGGTGGGCATTCTTTCTGAACTTTACGGTATGCATATGCCTTCTTTTTGAGAGTATACTTTCTCTTCTAGCATGGTGTGTAGGGAGCATAAATAGTTTCGTACAAGACCTACATGTGCATGTGTTAAGTGTAACTAGTCTTGGCGACAAAAAGTGCTTTTTAAGGGGTGGTGGAACAATTTTTATACTTTTAGTAAATGCTGCTGACAATTTTTCCTTGATGGTGATAACCTACAAAACATGCAATAATTTTTGTATAGTCGTCAAAAAAAAAAAAAAAAGTTAGAGAAAAACTAGCAACATTCCCTCCATCAACTCGCAGCCAGAACGAGCGGCCATGTGATCTGGTGCCAATTATATGCTGCCAATGTTTATCATATGGACATTGGTGGGGTTGGCAAAGCACAAGGCACATGCTGAGTTCCAGACGTCGTTGTGGTTCGGCCATTCCCGTCATTGAAGTGAGCGGACACAAGCTGCTAACCAAACGCTCGTCGAGGCATTGATTGTCACCAGCCCAAATCGAGTGCTCGTGCAGATCTCGTGTCTAACCTACCAGTCAAATTGGGCTATTGTCACCAAGAGGTTATTTCCGTGACCATGACAACATTGCAATCCCCGTGACTATGTCATCAGGTTTTGCTACGGAGAGACTGAAAGAGGCGACCCGATTTTATTCTTCAAATTCCGCAGTGACAAGATCACTTCTTGGTCAGTGATGTTGCGTCTGAGCATACCTTGGTCTCACAAGTGCTGGGAAGCTTGTGTAAAGTGAGAAACATTCCAACCCAGTATCGTTGCACGCCTCCTTAAAGATGCCTGGAGTTGGGAGGAGAGAAAATATTAACGTAATTCTCCTCTTTGTCTGGACGTCCCTTCTTGCATTCGCAGTACTGGATGTACAAGTTCCGCAACGTGACATCTGGGAGTGATCCGCTGAGCCGGACCTCGCTGCAGACGCACTTCTTTGGGGCCTTTGCGGTGTCGAGCACAGTGCCCTCCCTTCTTGCTGTCCTACTGGCGACGCTCGTCAACGACAGGTGAGGCACTCGGGAAGGCTTTCTTGTCACTTCGGCCATTTTCTATATAGTATATATTTATTTATTTATTACGCATAACGTGTATAGGGCTGGGTGTTCATAGGAAAAGTTCCCCAATAAGTATTAGAGAAGGGTAGAGGCTGGTTCGCATACTTGCATTTGGTGGCAACCGAGTGTGCTGTACAGCGGAAAAGTGTAACACTGTAAATTGAGCCGACCGATGCTCTGCTAAATTTAGCTTTTAATTGTAATTGGTGTATACTTAGCAGACAGGGTTCACGTGACTTTATTAGCATGGTGGTGGTCGTGCAACCCGACATGACTCCAAACGGGATCATGTGGTGCGATGCGACATTGTAGTGTCACGTGATGCGGTGTCATATGACATTGTAATGTCGGAGTGTCATGGGATGTCAGGTCGTGTGAAAGCACTAAATTTTTCAGGCTTAATTTGGGTCCCTTGCAGTGCAGCTAAAATCGTGCTTCATCTTCTCTGTCTTCCGATTTTATCTGTGGCATTAAGATACATTAATATTGAGCCTTGGCAATCAAGGTCAGGGTTCAAGCTATTTATACGAGGAGGGTTCACAAAGGTCATGTGGGCATACTCCATTCAGCGAGGCAGAGGGTCGTTGACAGATGGTCGTGGACTGTGGTCGTCGGAGTAGTGCTGTGTCGTAGTGCCTTTGTAGGCCCTGTGTTTTTAACTAGGCCTTGGCAATTGCTTGTTTGGGGGGATCATTGCCATTGTGGCTGTTTCGAGGTGTTCGTGGACAGAACATTTATCTCCATGGCAATCAGTTTCAACTGTCAAACTTCTTTTAGAGCGCAGCTCTTAGGCGCCCAATTCCGGCTTGAGCGGCGTTGCCGTCGGCGTAACCGTGAGGTCACGTGACCCCCCCCCCCCCCCCCCCTTGAGATCACGTGACCCCCGTGAGGGGAGGAGGAGAAAGGAGGGGAGCAGGGAGGATGAGCACGGGGGACGAATCCGAATTTTCATTACTCCGAAAAATGATTTTAAAAAACTTCTATCTCTTGTCCCTTGGCCGGCTTAGAACCGGAGCCCTTTTGTTTAGGAGTAGCAGGCTGGATCACGAGGGAGGAGGAGAAGGGAGGGGGAATATACCCTCCCCTCAGTACCCTTGCCTCCTCCTCCTCAGGAGCTGCGCTCCAATTCGGCGTTACAGGGAGTTGTAAACGGCTTTAATTTTTTTTCTCGATGCTTAAAGTCAGGATGCGTGTAGAGAGCATGTAGGAAAATGTTTGTTGGTCATTGCGACGAAGTAACTGAGCAGTGTTGTCGGCCATTTTGATTTTATCGTGAAAGGTGCGCAAGACACCTCTAGAGTTGCCATACTAGGATTCTGTTGTAACTTGCGCAAAACTTAAAATAAGTCCACTTCATGAATACGAATTTGTTCTTGGATTTTGTCGTACGCACCTTTTTTTGTCCCGAGATTGTTTGTGAATCTGGCCTCAAAGCACCTTGGGAAGGGAGCACCATCCATTTTGCCTGACTGCTCTGTAGGACTGGACCACACGAAGTGCAGTGGCAAACAGTTCATCGAACAATGTTTAATTGACATGCCACATTTCATTGATAGTCAGACTTCATTGAAAAGCTTCCCGCATTCACTTCATTGGCCCACCTTGCAACATTCTGTCGAACACAACCCTGCTGTTTTTGTAACAAATCTTTTGTGTCGCGCTTGGTTTACGGGAGAAGAGAGCTTGAGGCTCAGGTAAACACGCCTCAGTGAATAATGAGCTAGCCTTTAGCAGCTTTCGGATTTGATTACGCACTTAGTAGAAATAATGTGTTGTTAATGAAATGTTTAGGACCATGTGTTCACAAAACAAGTTTCCACCAAACACCACAGTGTCAACAAAATCTTTGTCCACGAAAAGTTGTCCATGAAAACCCAGTCTCAATGAAATGTCTGTCCACGAAAAGTTATCCATGAAATAAATCTCCATGAAATGCCACACAATCGACAAAAAGTTGTCCACGAAATGCCATAGTGTTGATGAAATGTCTGTCCACGAAAAGTTGTCAACGAAATGAGTTTTCACGAAATGCCAGTGTCGACAAACCTTACTGTGTCCACGAAAAGTTGCCCATAAAACATGTTTCCACAAAACGATACGGACCTCGCGAAGTGAGTCTAAGTGGTGCCTTTCTCTCTTCCCTCTTTCTTATTCTTGCTCTCTCTTCCTGTCTTTCTCTCATCCTATTTATTTATTTCACCCAGGATTCGTCAAGAGGTTCGTAATGTGCTGTCCCTGTGCCTCTGCCTGGTTCTGATGGCGGCGGTGATGGCCTTTGTGCAAGTGGACACGGACAGCTGTGAGTCCCGCGTGCACCTGTTGTGCCTGTCCCACCACAACCGCCTGGGGACCTCGTGACTATACGCGGCCGAGCTAGAATTTCACATGCCTCTATGAGTAGCAGACCACGTGTGAAAAAAAGTATGGCAGGAGCACGTTGGCTGTAAGCCTACAGTAACACTGTTTTTCCTGACAAATTGTAATTTCAAGGGTAGATCTGGGTCATAAAATGGTCAAGAATTGTGAAATGTTTTATTTTTGAAAAGACATATTTTGAGTGGGTGTTGTCTAAGGTGACTACCTGCTAGGTTACAGTGACCTACTTTGGGTGTCTGAGTGCAAAAACAATTACAGTTGCTACACCTCTGCAGCACTCAAGTGATGAGATTGAAGCAAGATGTTACCAAACTTTGCATCCGCATTGTTCTGCTGCCGCTTGTCCTGTCGCTGCCATTTTGCTCTTGGTGGGCAAAGCTGCTTCTCTTCCCCACATTCCCATGCCATTCACTCTTTCAACGACTTCGAGCAGCACACACATTCTGCCGTTTTTCATGACCACGGTGGCAGTTGCTGGCTGGTCAGCATATGCATGTTTTGGTTACGTCATGCCTGCCACTTCGGTTTTCTCTGGGGCAAAGCACCGGTCTATGGAACCCCAGGGGGCAGGTTTGAATTTTGGGCTAGGTGTCCGCAATCCGACGGAGGCTTATTGCATCAAGGGTGTAATGGAACTTTTGGTTGCACTTCAAAAGATCTCCAGGTGGTCAGAATTAGTCCTCAGCCCTCTGCTGGGTTGTGCCAGACACCCTTTGTTGGTTTGTAAAACCCCCAAATATGACTTGCCATGTCATGCCAAGACACGCTGCTCCACTCGTTTTGTTTTCCTTCTCTCGATTTGCTTGCCGTCGTCTGCTCTGTTCCGTTGGCTTTTGGCTTGCTGCTTTGTTAGTTCCACAGTTGGGCACGCATTGTCTTCGTTTTATTTACACGTTTGTTTGCATCTGAGTGTTCCTTTGCCGCATGTGTATGGTTTGTTCCGGGCAGTTAAAAACGATAAGGGACGTTGAAAGCGAGCACGTGGTAAATGCACGTAAGTAATGCATGGCTCACATTTTGACAAGCTTGCATGCAAAAATGCTGCTTCAAATTCTTGTCTTGTCTTCTGCTAGATGGCAAGGAGGCACCCACTGAAGTGCACATAGATATGTTGAGATAGTAATTGTATCTGCTCTGCTGCAAAGCAGGGTATTGCAACAATCTTTCAATTCAATTCAATTCAATTCAATTTTTATTTTCAGATCAAGTCATACAAAATAACGAGCTGGGCCACAAAAGCAGCATTCTGCCTGTATGTGGGGCCAGGCGATCAACTAGAATACATGTTGTTACAAAAAAACAAACAAAAAGAAAGCACAAAGAAAGCACTCCGCAGCACAGAAAAAAAACAAAAAAACGTTTTACTCCAAGTATTGCAAGAGAAGCTACCGTCACATTTGCAGGAGATGCAATGGGCGCAACTACATAAGGCGGTGGTTTCCCGTGCATGCGCTGTCGTGCGTCTCCCAAGTCCCTCGGAAGCACGCACGTGCTGCGTCATGGGTTGTCATGTTGTCTGCTTGTGTTCGGTCTCTTTGAAACGGTGCTTGCATTATAAAAAGAAATTAATTATGCATGTCTTAGTGGCACACACAGTGTCCAAAGGTTGAAGAATCTTCCTACTTGTAAGACTTCAGTGTAAAATCTACATTTCGCGAATGCAGCACGAAAAATATGTCCCGCCCCAAACCCGGCGCTTTGCAAGGCCATTTTCCCGCGACAGGTTCCTTTCTTTCTGTTTTTCTGCAAAGTTCGCTGACACACTCGAAGGGATTATGGTGTTGATTTCGACTGCTTTTTATTGAATCGCATTTGAACATCATTTCTTTTTGGTTATCAATGTTTTCCGGAGATGTCTCGTGAAGAGGCCTAACCTGCACCTCATTCTCTGTTCCCAGGGCAAGATGGCTTCTTTGTGCTTTCTATGGTGCTTATTGTGCTGGTGAATGGTGAGTACGCCCTTCCTATAGTATACTATACAAAAAAAGAATTAATGCTTAAGGCTGAACTCCATGGAACGAATTATGTGACAAATAACTGGCGAACGCCGCCCGACGACACGCTCGTTTTGCGCGCGACTTAGCAGCCACTGTGTTGATTCCACGCGCAGAGCAAAAGTCGCCGGTTAAAATTTGTCGGTTATTCGCAGCATATTCGTCCTATGGAGTTCAGCCTTTATTTTGTAAGATTTTGGCAATCTCTCGATATCTGGTAATTAGGGTTCTGTGTTTTCGGTACATACTGATAAACCACGAAAATCAAGCCCTGAGCTGGTTTGATCAAAAGCGGAAAAACCTAGAATTTGAGCTCTCCTTGAATAAAAAAAACCGGAGCTTCACGAGAAGAAAATTTCTCTCCACAGCTTTGTTTTGTGTTGACCCAGAAGGCAGGCCCCCGGTGAATTGTCTGTGAGGCCCCTGCTTGCTTCAGAATCGCACATCTTATCTCGTTTGTTTTTCTTATCAGTTTGTGGACTATATTTCTTATCAGTTCGGGAAACGGTGAATTTGAGAAACACTTGGAGCATGTGGAGGCACGGTACTGTGCTAAAGTTACCGCTCGTGCAGCAGGCGCAAAGCTGGCGTTGGGAAGACGCCGATGATAAGGGACAACGCAGGCCCGTTTTCGCACCCACAGCCTTGCACCTGTTGCACGGATGGTAGCTTTAGCATACCACTGCACTTCTCACACCGCTCCGCCTTTCTAAAATAGATTTAGTATTGGCCAAATGCGGCTCACCTATTGGAACCGTATGTTTATCTTCACTAATTAAAAAGTTTTAGTTTATTAACTGATTTTCTGTGACAATTAGCCCCTATATTACCTCGTATGTCCCCTTGTCCGTATAACTCGCTTGCACAGACCGCATTTGTGTAGCTTTGACGGTAGTCTTAAAGATAATGCGTAAAGCCCAAAAATACACCCTGTATAGTACATGGCTTCCTTGTGACATCAGTTTGCCCTTCTTTCTGGTGGCGAGAAAATACTCGTTAACGCAGCAGAAGGTACCCTCTCACTTGCCCTTTCCCCCATTACGTCTGACCAAGTGACATCAGTGGAAGCTATGTATATGTTGGGAAAGTGTCCTTGGAAAATAGTAGGTACAGCAACTTTATTAATTCATATCATATCTGTGATACTACCTATAAAGAGTCATTTCTAGAGTTCCGGCTTTTTGCTTTAGTATAAATTGTATCATCAATGTAACGGAAGGATTTTACAATATTGTATCAAATATTTCTACTGTTACTGATGTCATTTAATTTCATATTAGGGTACAGTCGCCGACCAAATTTTCAGACTTTGCAGGGACCAAAAAAACGTCCGAATAATAGAGCAGTCCGAAAAAGCAGCAGAATAAAAACTTGCCTTTATTACGTCTAAGCGGGCTCAAAAAAGCCGTAGGGTAAGTAGTGCCTTGCTTCAGGTTACGCCTGCCTGCCTTGTTCCAGGTTTTGCCTCCGTTTGCGTTTGGCAACTTTCTATTAGCTTGAGAATTGCTGCCTTCTTTTCTAGCATTATTATCGAGTACCTTTTGCGTTTCTTAGCAACACATTGCAGCGGCAGGAGAACAGATGGGGCAATGACGTCCAAGCCAGCGTAGTTCGAAAACACGATTCACCGAGATGAGATGCGCAAGTCCATGACTGCAATGGCGAATGAACAAAGCAAAATGGAACAATGATGATGATAATGACCCACAGCTCGAGAAAAAAAAAAAGCCGTACTGCGTCACCTAGGCACTTCTCAAGTAGCGCTGCCAAGAGTAGCCAATCCATGTGCCGCCACCATAGAATCCAAAATGGCCGCTCCTCGGTGGTGTTTTCCACAGATCGCTCGCAACAATTTTGTCCGAAAAATCAAACTTTTGGACTTCAAGCTGTCCAAAACATTGATCTTTAATATGCACCATTTATATTGAGTAGGTCCGGGTTCTTCCTTTAGGTCTGAAATACCGAACGAGTCCCGGCGTCCGAAAAATTGGTCGGTGATCACCGACCAATTTTATACGTACAGTCGACTGTATGTGTAAAGGCATGTGCAAGGATGGCACATTACCGCAAAGATTGTTCCAGCTGCCTCTGAAGCAGAGCAGTTGTTATAATGAGGAGAAATGCCAGTATTCAATAGCTCCTCATGCTCGCTGAGCTGTTGAAAGAAGTTACAATCGAGTGTTATGTCTTTTTGTAGCGGTCTGCAAATATTTGAGTTTTCAATTTGCATCAAATAATGGTTTTTGGAATAATTCTATTAGACTTTCGGATTCCTAGGACATTTGAGTTTCCGGATCATCTGATGCATTGTATATTGGCACTGTTGGCAAAAATACATGTTTATTCAGGACCGCTGCTCATATAGTGAAATAGTCCTGTGTTGGATCTAAATCAAGTCTACATCCTGCGGCTTTGACCAACGAAATCATTTCGACAAAGAGTAGTTTGTTTGATCTGTTTCTCAAACGAAGGGTTTATACACTACATTCTGTTTGCCCTGCAGGACAATAAACACGTAAGAGCTTTTGTCTCATCTATGCGACTTTGTTTGCTTAGTTTCTTTAATATTGCGAATAAACGTTTTGGTATTTGTAATCTATTCAACATTCGACTGTTTGGCCATTTTTTGGCACTGTTTTACTCAAATTCGATTTGAGTTCAAACTTCACTATTCTTACACCTCTAGATTTTTATCTACAGCTTTATCCACAAAAATTTCTGTTTAGGACATGCAAAAAAAACCAAAAAAACATCAAACTGCAGATTAAATGCACATAGGACCCTATGAATATTGAAAACCAGTTGCGAATCAAACAGGATATGAAAAATAAAATTAAATATCAATAAAATAATGAAGCAACATGCACATATGCACACTACGCAAAATCTCGATGACTTAAGTATGTTGTCGTCTTCTGGCCTGCAGTATTGGAAGCCTTTTTATTGTGTTTAAACAATACCAGCTAGTTTGTGCCCTTACATTTAGCTTGCTAACTAAACATGAATAACAAAATTTGCAAATATATTTCTTTCAAAAAGCAAAAAAAACGAGTAGCATATCATGACATAATCTGAAACATGGTAGGAGTTTTGAACAATGTGAACTTCCTAACTGCCTGTTGCAAATTCACCTATGAAGAAATGGCGGATGTCATGTGAGGATGCGATTCTGAAACAGAGTGTAGGGTTACAGTATGCCTTGACATCCGCCTCCTTCTGGGGTCCCCCGACCCCTGCAGGGACAATGAACTGTGCCGTGCTGTGCCTAAACACTAGCGAGCCCCCTGAACCCCCGTAGAAGGTAAAAACAAAGTAAAGCTAGACTAAACACTCGCAGGAGCAAAACTTCCCGACAATATTTGCTGTGGTAGGAACGAAAAGGAAGTGTACGCTTATGTTCTAAATATTTATTTTGCTGTTCCAAACTGGATTTTTAGCTGCTCCAAAAGGTGTTCCAAAATGGCTCAGACCGATCACAGAACTGCGCGCAGGAACTCTCTGTGAACTCCTGTCTCATGTGAACCGATACCACAGATCGTGAACGCAGCAGATTCGTGTTTCACGGTGTGGTAAACGCACAAAAACCGTCACTGAACTCGCATGTTGTGGGAACCGTAGTATGTGAACCAATTGTGGGCACAACAAACTCGGGTTTCGTGGTGCGATAAACGTGCAGGAACCCGCCACAAACTTGGTTGTCACACGTACCTATACCGGAGTTCGCGCGATTGACGTAATTCCCGCTGGACGTTGCGCAACATCCGACGGGAATCATTAGGTGTCTGCACGTAAACAAATGGTGAAAGTGGTGGACGTTGTTCGTCGGCGTAGCAGAACACGGCTTGACGGATGGGAAAAGGTGTTTTGTAGGACCGTCTCGCAACACCGTGCACCTTGCGCGGCGGACTTCATAGTCCACACCATCATTCGCAGGCTTCTCGTCGTGGCTGACGATGGGGATCACCGGCCTGGCAGCGCGGCTGCCTTCGGATTACATGCACAACTACGTCATCGGCATGGTGAGCCTGCGGGGCGTAATATCATGGTGCCTGGGCCCTGTCTCCAATTGGTGCATGTACCGCATCCTAAGAAGTGTTGCTTTGATTTTCGCTCGATGGCATCATAGAAGTGTCACGTCGTCACCGGCCGCAATCCTGGCAGTGAAACAGCGGCGGTGGTGGACGTGCGGACACATTGTTTTGCTGCAGGTCGCAGGGGCATGAGAAAGCTCCATGCCCATCGGACGTAAAAGGAATGTTGAGGGGTGGGGAGGGGAGGGAACCCTCTCTTTCACTGCAAAGTTCCTGCCATGAACTGACAAGATAGTGAGTGTTTTGGGGGACGGGATCTCGGGCAGGGACAAGGTTTAGTCCTACTCGTAAATAGGCCTAACGTTTGTGCAACGTGCACACTCGCACTTAAGTCTTGCTTTGGACATTCCGCAAAAATCTACTACAGAGGTGTGACTAGATGGTGCATGCATAAAGTTAAAATGTTGGCAGATAAACTTAACGTAGAATACCGCGCATCCGCCCATTCCACATGTATTAAGCACCCATTATCAAATTTGTAAGATTGAGAAAATACGCACAGTACATTTATATGTAAAACTGATGACCGGACAAGCGCCCATCCCCCATTTTTGAGCGATTATCTCCGAAGTTTAAGTGGGCGCTTGCCCGCTATTTTGTGGTACCTCGTTCAAAAAAGAAAAAATGGAGAGCCCGTTTTGGGCGTTCTAAGGCGCAATTGCCCGGGCGATGCACTCGGTGCTCGTTGACTTCGAGATGCTGCCGACAGATGGTGTATGCATCGAAAAACTTTCGCTAGATCATCTGCTATCGAAACCCTAATTAGCGCGCTCCGCGCCTTCGGCACCTATGCCATCTGTCAGCATCTTCTCTGAGTCAACGAGCACCGTCCAAGTCTCCTGGGAAATGGTGCCATAGATTGCCCAAAGCAGGTTCTTCTTTTTTTCTTTCTCGACTGAGGTAAGTTTATTCGTTGTTATTTTAACTCCACGCGTGCACCACCTAACCGCACCTTCGTAGCAAATCTCAGCGCGATATGTTGTGAAACTGATTTTTGCGAACTGCCCAAATTGCGATAGAAGCATTAGTGTACGTGCTGTATATAGATTGTATTTTATGCAGCATGTGTAACGCGCATGTAGTGTTTCGCGGCATGCATGCGTTTCCAGTAATAAACGGGAGCAGAAGTCTCTCCCTCGAACAAACCAACATTTGTGTTTGTGCGTGTGGCACCTGGTCGACGAATGTACGACGAACCGCATTGGGCCGACTTGCCGGGGCAGCATGCGAAGTCCCATGTTATATAGGGTCACGGTTCCTATAGATGGATGGGGGATGAAAGGAGGTCACACCAGATCCCGTCGTGCGCAGGCGGTGGCCGGCGTGTTTGCGGCCGGGCTGCAGGTGGTGACGCTGCTGGGCCACACGGACCCATGTGTGGCGGCCCTGGCCTATTTCGGCTGCGTCCTGGTCGTGCTGCTCGTCTCCCTGCTCTGCTTCATGGCCATGCAGTCCTCCGTGAGCGCTCCTTTCCCCCCTCTTTCGCTACCCCCGGGACCTGCAACATGTCTCTGATCAGCAAGCTCGGCCAATAGAGTAAAACTTTGTTACGGCGGATCTGGTTACAGCAGACGTTCGGTCGTAACATTTCAATTAGGGAAGTTTGGTTGGTTTCCCCATCTTTGCCATTGAACCAACTTTGCTTATAACAGATTTTGTTATAATGTACATTTGTATATACTGTATTAGGGAGTTTGTAAGTAGCTTACAATTCCGTTTTAGTGGACTCTTCGACAGCAGTCATTATTTCGGACATTGTGCGGCTTGGGTTCGGTAGCGGTGACACCCATTTTGCGAACTGTTGTCGTCGTGCTTGGCGCCTCACAGGTCTCATATGACCATAAGTGCACAGTGATACGACCATAGGTCATATGAGGCTTCACAGGCCTCATATGACCCTAAGTGCACAATGATACGACTATCATCTGTACATCTCAATAAAAAATTGCTACCTTTAACCCTTTGACGGTCACTGCCGCACACGTATGGCATGAATTACACTTATGTGAACTTTGGTGATCTATAAACGTTATATTCGCACATTGTTTCGCGTTGCTGGGCTTTTTATAGTTTAAGTCAGATGTGATGCTCACTTCGAATACCGACCTCTCTGGCAGCAGTGCCAGCGGGAGCACTGGCTCCTTCGATGCGAACATCTAACGCTTTTCGGAGTTAAGTTTAGAGGACGAGAGCTCGTCATCCGACGGAGAAGTTTTGTAAAGTACCTTCAATCAGGAATCTCAAGCCACTGGAATGTCGCGGAAGCGTATGTGCCAAAATGAAACTGAATAGAAGGTGACAACTTTTCATCTTCAGTATTTTTATTTGACGATTCTAAATCTAAACAGCTCGCAAGCCCCGCATGTGCTCCCGCTAGATAATTAAGAAAAGGATTTAAGTTTTGCAAACAAAACAAAACCATTAAAAAACAGAAAAAAAACAAAAAATCGACCGTCGAAGGATTAAAAGTTTGTAAATTTCAATAGACCAGTTATTTTTTTAATGGATCAGTGTGGCAAGGCAGGCGAGTTGGTTCATGATTGCAACTGGTAGCAGCACGCAAAATACACACGGACAAGGAGGAATGCACAAGACGAGTGCTGATATTTGTTTACATTTCGTTGGTCTCACTGGTTAGAGCGGTCTCCAGTCATGATCCATGTCAAAGCCTGTGGTAAGAGTGGGCGTGTTAAGTTTGCACTTTTTACTTTTACTCTGACGCTCCGAGTTCCGTACTCCGAACGCAGCAACTAAACGGAGCACAGCGTACAGGAGCGCAACACACCAAAACTATCGACGAGCTGCACAAACTCCTTCCGACCCCACGGTTACGATGAACCCTGCATCTCGAGGATACGGGTGGCAGAAGCTGAAATTATTTGCAAAATAGATTAAAGGGAATTCCTACGGAGCTTCTTGAAAAAAATGAGTTAGAAGTGAATTCTAGTGCATTTTTACCCCGGGAACCCGAATACCCAAACCATTTGCTGCGCAAGTATTGTTGAACGCGAGAAAACGCGAAACACAGTCGCTGTACTTGACGTCGTCGACGGATCTTTTGGCTGCCCAAGGCTAAGGAGGTGGGGCTTCAGCCCTATTTTGAAATTGCTCGTATGGCTCTCCAGCGCTTCGCACTGAAATATAATTGTGATATCTGCTATTCTAAAGGCCAGATGAACGCTATTCAAGTGTTTTTTCTTAAATGCAGAAGTGCCCCATCTTCCCTTTAAGTAAGGCCTCTGTGGAAAAGGACATGGCGCGATTTGTGAGAAATTTTAATGCAGATTGCATTTTATCAGCCGATTTCTATGAAGTTCTTTAAAATTTGGCTGTAATGGCCGGCTGTGGAGGTCGGCTGTAACAACACCGAAAAAGTGTTACGCCCATAGGGAACCATATAAAAAGACTTCAGTTCTCCGGCAGGATTTGAACTCACTACCTTGACGTTGTGAGCCATGTTCTTTGCCGATTGAGCTATCCAGGACAAATGGTGGATCACTCAAAAGCGAAGTTTTTGACATGGTATGCGAGAGAGCTTTTCTCTTCTTCCTTGGAAGGCCTATCACATATTCTGTGCTTACCTGTCTGTCAGCATGAACAAGCTTGTATAATTTTTTGTTCCACATGACACTCTAGTGGTATTTGTCAGTTATGAGTGCTTTGTCCAATTTGCAGAAAGTTTAGCATATTTGGAAAGTTTAGGCGTTTTATAGTGACTTTAACTAAAGTTTGTGGCAAAGAGACGACTGCATAATATTTAGTGTGTCACCGATGTGCATCACTGAACCTTATATATTTTCAGCCTTCTACAGGGTTGATTACACCATGTTGCAAAAACAAAAAATTTCAGAACATGCTTTGCTTACTCATAATGGGCAAGCTGCGAGTTAAATAACGACATTGAGCGCCTATGCAGGCTCTGACTTCGGAGCTTATGCATTTGAATGGTTTTGCCAGGGGGACTTCTGTAAATCCCTCACCCCACAGGCTGCTGTCATCAACAGCCAAAGACCTACCGTAGAATACCGTGCGTTTGCCCATTCCACACTGAGCACCCATTCCCAAATTTGTAGATCTGACAAAAAACGCACAGTATATTTCTATGTGAAATTGATGACCAAACAAGGGCCCATCCCCCATTTTCTCGCCATTATCTCCAAATTTTGAGTGTGCGCTTGTCCCTGTATTTTACGGTACCTCAGGAGAGTTAAAGCTATTGTCACCGGGTTGTTCTCTCACAGCCATGGTCAGCTCTATTAGCACATTTGCTGCGGGAAGGCAAACCCCTCTTGTCGCAAATCTGCTTTGCCGTAATGAGACATCATTGTTTTTATGCACTCTGGAAAGCTCCGCAGCATATAGTTGTCCAAAACCTACAGTTGCCAGTATTTTTTTTTAAAGTTTGTCTAGCGGGACTTTGAAAGTATGGCTTGACAATAAACGTCACCGCTCCACTTGGGTGGTAAAGTTGGTCATTTGACTCCGGCCTGTATGAGTATCAAAGGATGTCTGTTTCAGTACCATGTGCGTAGAGCTGAAACAGACGTGTTATGTTATTACCTCTCACTAGATTTTGGCAAAGCAACCTTCTATCTTTTGTGTGCATTGACGTACCAAACTTGTGTTCTGACTGCATTTCATGCAACATTGCAATGGCCCTAAGTTGTCACATGGGCTTTGCATGTCTCACCAAATCCTGGTGTGTTTTTTTTGTTTTTTTTGCAGGAATTCTTCCAGTACTGTTTAAAGAATCCACAACGTGAGTTGGCCGAGCTCTATTTTTTACTACATCGTAGGGACCGCAGCATTTAAGTGTTGCCTCACAGGCACTACCGTGTAAAAACGCTCGTACCACCGAGGTTTGGCGAGGAAACGCGAGTCGGTGGGGAGCGGCGAACCCGAACTTGAAAAAGACAATATCTTTTTCCAATTCGAGATTTAGTGAGGGTACTCGCAAGAAAAATTACACAAACTGTTCTATAGGTCTATTTTGATTCCAACTCTCTTCTTTAGTTGTCACCTTCATATAGGTTTTATCCGTGCGAGGTACAGTCACTAGAATAAAATAAAACTACCTAAATTAGGTAAAGGTGTGGAAGGAAGCTTGGACATAACCTTAATGACTTTGGTTTTATCATTCACATGCCTCTTTGTTATCATAAAGTTCCTAATTTAATGAAGAAAGTTTTTTTTTTTTTAGTGTGAATTATGAAGTTTAGTTTTATTACAACCTTTAGAACTTGAATAAAACACCAATTTGTGTGCTCAAGATTATTCTAGCATTATTTCACTGGAATATGCTATTTGGTTTACATTTTATTTCACACTTAAGATAACCATTCACAGCAGTCCATACTGTCTTTCATCGATTAGTATCTTGTTGCCATGCCTAGTGCTTCTCTGTGGAACTAAAGAGCCAGTGCTGTGTTCGAGGGAATCAGTCCTGCCGTGCGGTTCATGCTGGCAAAAGTTTGCACAGAAGTGTGAAGGCAAAGCAGGCATGTTTCTTAGTTGGATAGGCCAACACACAAATGTTAACATGTAATATTCACAGTGGTATGAATAAAAATAAAGTGTGTGTGACAGTTACTAAAATTTGCGAAATATTGAGCCTGCAAAAACAAAGTTGTTTATGGTATTTGTAATATTGGCGCAGCGAAACTGCATTGAAAAGTGTGTATATGTGTATTTTTATTGCAATATACGTGCAAGCGAGAGCAATTTTAGGAATACTCGTCACCGAATCGAACAAGAAATGTAACTCTCCTGGTAAATTTCTGCAGTTAAGGGTCATACTTATAGAAAAAAAGGTTAGGCTGTGTACATAATCTGGGTACAAGTTTTAGGCATGACAATGTTTATGTGCCAAGTCTAGTGAAATGAAACGATTGCATAAAATGTAACAGATTTTTTTGAAGTCACGGAACTAAGGGAATGAGACTCAAGTATCACTGTTGGTTATTGGATATACCTATTATTTATAAATGCTTTTGTTCGATCAATGCCTTGTTTGGTCTGGATTGTTGCGTTTCCGCGGCTGTGTCGGACATGCGAGGCTTGCTACTAGATGGCGGCGTGGGTGACATCACGTCAGCATCAGACATACTGTGATCATCTTGTTGGGTGCATATATCTTGGACGGATAGAGATATCTTGATGATTTTCTCACCATCATGTATGGCTTCATGGGATCTATAGGTTTGACATTTCAGTGATATGTACACAAACAGAATGGAGACATGGGCCTCGACGGTCAATTTTAGGCTCAAGTTTCAGCTTTCACACAGAAATAGTAACCCAGTACAGTGTAGACCGCATATAACGTATGTCTCGGGAGTCGCGAAAATCCGCACTATAAGCGGTACCGCACTATAACCAAAACATCAATTTTTCAGGCCAAAATACATGCCATCAGACAACTTACCTTTGTAAAAGAATTTATTTTATGTTAGATGAAAAATAAAGCTTAGTTTGAGGAAAGTCTTTATTTCACCAGACTAGTACAGTTCTGTCTCAAGTGTGTCACACATTTTGAAAGAAATGAGCGGCTTTTGCCTGGCGCAGCCTTTTAAAGGCGTCGCGGGTTGCGGACGGACGTTGCGAGCGTTCAGGATTGCTAACCCTAATCACTTTTCTCCGGAGATAAAAACGCGTGAAAATTCGCATCCTTCATACGGTACGCGCCAGTAATACCTTGAACTTGAGCACACGCATGAAATGCGCCTAATAAGAAATCCGGGCGATGTTCGAGGACACAAATGCTTAGAAATCACCACTGTAGTCGAAGTAAACAAACACGACGACACGGGCGTTTCTGCCGTCTTGAGAGCTCCTCCACGACATCGCCGCACGAGTAGGTGGATCTTACCTTCTAGTACGTGCTGGGTTATCATAGCCACACGACGAAAATTCACAGTCAAGGATAGCGCTTTTACACAGAACGATGAGATGCACGCTGTCTACGACGACGATCACAACCGACGCCATGTTTGCGGAACACAAGCAGCCGGCCCGCGACCGGTATGCAACGCGCGCGAACACTTCTCCTCGACCTGTGATTGGTCTGTCGTTGCGGTTGTTTGTTTCTTTGTTTCCAATGCAGCGGAGGGACGCACGCACGTGAACGATCGTGCGCGCGTCCCTTTGTCGCTATGGCAACTGAAGCCTCTCTTTTCGCTTCTCCCCGCGTTTTCGAGCAACCTCCTTGCCCCGCGAGTGCAGCTTGCGGCTCGCGCCGTCAGCGCCGTTATCTAGTGTCGCACAGGGAAGCGAGCTCGCTGCTCCGGTCGTCGGCGCGGTCGGCGGGCTGTGCCAAAAACCGCACCAGGACGGCACATGGGTACCTGAATTGAGGATCCACCCCACAGCGTAAAACGCTTAATAAATATGTTTTGTCCTCCTATAACCGGTATTTCCCTTCGCGCACCTGCATTTTAAGCGGTATGTAATTACATGGAGTTCTATGGGAGGTCAACCGGTGGTTTAAAAAAAACCGCGTTATACCCGGTCCTGCACTATAAGCGGCTACGTTGTAAGTGGTCTATACTGTATTGTCACAAGTTATATGTCAGCACCTATTGTGGGGTGTATGTCTATTCATCTTTGAAATTATACCAGAAAGAAATTAATCAACTGAACGACACGTCTGCTAGCAACAGCGGGTCAAACTGTGCTGAGCGTGCACTCGAACGGCTCATCGAAAGCGCCGTTTCACTCCACGCCTGCGGAAGAGGGGAACGAAAGGGTGTGTATCAAACGAGCGAGGCATACAGTCAAGGACAGTAGCTACATAACGACACGAGAACAATTGCTTTCTGGTTGAAAGTCGCAGAGCAGTAGGCTGTTTTAGTGAGGTCTGTTTTCGTTGCACAATGTTTTCGTACATACACCCCTTCATGTAAGACATTGCCACGTCTGAAATTACACCGTTGTATAAGACGCGCTGATGACAATTAAAAACAAACAAACAACAAAGGCGACTTGTGCACTGGAAAATACGGTGGTTTGTCATGTCACATTTTTTACTGCTGCATTCTTGACTTGTCACCGACTATCGAAGCAGGAAATTTACCAGCTACTTTGTTCTTTACACCATACCAATAGAGATGCAGAGTTCCCGGTTGTTTAGGCTGTAAACACGCTGTCCCAGCCATCTGAGGACAGGAATGGCAAGCATTCTCATTTTTCTGCAGGCAGCATGCAGGCCATGATCAGCTACGAGGACCTCGAGATAAGTGTGTCGCCCCTGGTCGTCTTTCGAAAGGTTGGTGCCCTTGATTTTCCCGCGTTTAGTGCGAGCAGCAACTGACATTGTTTTGCAAGATTTAATCGATTCACGCCACTGATCTTGTCTAACATTGCCATGAGCCTAATACTTACCTCTTCCTGATAGTCGTCAATTTACCTTTGAATAAGGTCTTACTCTGGAAAGTCTAGTTTTGTAACTACTGTTACTACAATGGCGTGTTGTCGACAATCCATTTCTTTTTACCGGCTGCTTCTCACGAGGACGACAAATTAAGAAAAATACCTAACTTAGTTTAAAGCCAGTCGCTATAGCTCTGTCCCGATCATCGAAAGACCTTCGTCGCACTATTTTTAGGGGTCATCGATAATTGGTGCTACGTGTACCAACACACTGAGCCTAATACCTTTGAGTTTTAATGTTCAATGTTTTGCACAAAAACAAGCTTTCCTGTTTCTTGTTTGACGATTGAAGACTGCTTTTTTAGAGATGAATAGATAAAAATATGTGCTAGATCTGATTTAGTAGCTGAAAGCTAGTTACGAATCCATCACAAATCAAACATACTAACGTGAAAATTTACTATAAAAGCGGCATACACATTCAAAAATAAAAAGTAAAACATTGAATTCAGGTAATACGATCTGGGGCCTTATGCTACATGGCGGGACCAAGCGACCGTCACAACGTTGTCTGCTGCAATTGGCAAGCGCCGTGCCGCTGAGCAGTCACAGCAGACAGCATTGTCCCGGTCCCTTGGTCCCGCTTGATTTCGCCGTGTAAAAGGGTAGATATCATAGATTACACAATTATAGAATACACTCGAGCAATTAGGTCTCATATTTCTTGACCCTGATTTTTTTAGTTAATTTGTAAATCCTACGTAATGCAGTTGTGACAAAACAAACTTCCAGCTGTGGGCAGCGCTTATGCGATTAGAACACAAAATTGTTGGTGGAATATTGTCGTATGTTTAGCTCTACCTTAGCTTTTCAGGGTGGCAACAAACCATACCTTGCCTCGTTTAGAAACGGGTACTATTTGGAACTTGGCTGGAAACCCGATTCAGCGTACCCGAAAAAAGATGAAGAGGGATTGAGGAGTGATCTCGGACCCCCTTCCCCGCCTCAGATGTGGATGCAGGGCACGTCGTCCGCCCTGGTGTTTGGAGTGTCCATGATGGTCTTTCCGGCAGTCACGGTCTTGGTGGTCTCGCAGAATGTGCTGTCTGGATCTGCCTGGACTGGTGAGGAAAATAAAATTCAGCATGTCTCAATCATATACGATAGACTTGGAGATGTATAAAATGTGTTGCAGATGAGCTGGGCATATGCTTTGTGTGCAGTTCAAAAGGTCATGTCACTCTGTGACCTGCAACAGGATGTCATGTGACACCTACGTGTTGCATCAGATCTTGGTGTCGTGTGACTCCGTGACACCGTGACACCGTGAACGTAAAGGCTGGTTCATGCACTCGCGTTTGTAGGGTTGTGCGAATATTCGAAATTTCGAATAGTAGTTCCGAATAATACACTATTCGATATTCGCTTCGAAAAGAACTGCACTATTCGCGTTTTTCGAAGTGTTGATTACGGCTGGTTAGCCCCGTTGAGTGCGCTTCTTACCAAGCACCGGTGCGCTGCGGGGAAGCAAAACGCGCGGAAGTGAGCTCCGCGGGTGTTGCTTCTCCGCATTACATTGGTGCTCGCTAAGAAGCGCACTTAACGGGGCAACCCGTTGCGATAAACAATATCGTAATTGCATGCTAAAGAAAAGCATACATTCAAAGTGGGATGGTGCACCCGTGCCGACTGTTTTTGAAAATAAATGGAAACTTTGTGAATATGTATATCTACATTGTAGTAAAAGTTTCAAAATTAAACTTATATGGAAGAGTATACTATGTTAGGCAGAGATGCTTTTACAACCTGTGTTCATCATGCGCGACTCATTCTTTTTTAACTTGAGATTAAAGAAAGAATATTTTATATATCAAGATTTGTAAATTCACTCAATTGGTATAGTTGGCCATCTATATAGGATTCGCTTTATGTCAAATCCGTCGTTTACTTGCCATCCCGAGACACCAGACCTTCTGAGATCACAGTTCATAAATATAGATAGATTAAGCTCAGCTTATGAATGAAAAAGTGGAATAACCTTTACAGGTTCAGCTGGGTTTTCGTCTAAGCATTATGCAATGGTAGTGAAAGTCTTGGAAAAACTATTCGATATTCGAATCGAAAATATTCGGCCAAAACCACTATTCACTTCGAATTCGCTTCGGACTCAAAATCCACTATTTGCACAATACTACGCGTTTGATTTCAAGCGGGCGAGTGTGTTTGCTGCCCTCTTGCAACCAGAGAACAAACACACTGGCACGCTGGAGCCAGTTATGGTGTGGACCTGGAACTGTGTTTCACTAGAGTGAAGGTTTTGCAGTATTTACAGCATCGAATGTTGTCTATGAGAAATGGTCGTTCATAACATTGCCGAAAGATTTTCAAGCCCATGGTGGAAGAAGGATGCACTAACAAAATTGGAAATATACAAGGTGTTTCAGCGAAGGCTTTCAAAAATCTTTAAAAATAGGGTGGTGGGTGGTCGGGGAAAATAAGACACCTTTTTCGGGAACAAACTGCCAGACATGGAAAACATCGGGAATCGCATAAAGACGTACGAATTGGCTAAATGATGACTAAAACTTGCTAATTAATTTTTTAATCAGTGAAAATAAACATATGGTTCCAATGAAAAACTTGCTAAGCGTCATTGAAAACAACTACCGTTATATCCCGGGGCAACCCCACCTTCGAAAGGTAGCTCATTCCTACCTTTAAAAACATTGAAAGAGCCCGTTTCTAGTAATTGCAGTGCCCAGGCCTATGGTGATCTCAATGGGAATGGTGTTATAGTTGGCTATGGCTGGAGATAAGTGAACATTGCAGAGGGTGAAGGACAGTCGTCTTTGGTTCGTTGTTTCTCGCTGCAACGGCAAGTCTTGCGAGTCACATAATCTAAAAATAGCATTATAACGCAAGAGCATTAAGGAGCTCTTGTGGCAGAAAAGCCGGCGTCAGTGGCGTGCGCTAAAATCCAGAATTGATCGATAGGGTCATGACTTCACAGCCACATGACCTCGCGTGGGAATTTCAAACAACCCGCGACGCTCGCGTGAGACGTCACGTCATGCATGATTAAAAAACATTACATGTAATGCGAATTACAGGTCCCTACATTTCTCAAATGATTTCACTTTATGAAGTAATTCATTTGCCTTAAAGAAAGATTTGAAGAATTTTAGGCGGGATTCAAACCCATGACCCTTCGGCATAGAGTTATTACAATAAACGCTAGAGGTTCAGGTGGCGCTAGTGTGCTGTTGCATTTTGAAGCAGACAGCAAGCAGTCAGAAATTGACCTCCGGTAATGCATTTCTATGGGAAAAAGCGAGTGCATTTTCTTTCTGTGCTCGATTATAAGAGCAAATATCACGAGTAATTTGTACGTACAAGGCACATTGGAACATTTCTCAGTCACGCAGACGAAATGATTGGTCAGTTACAGCAATTTTATTTGAAATTCGTGGCATGAAAAATGGTGTTAAAACCACTTCGTACATGTATTTATGTGCACTGTCAAACACTGTTAGCGCGAACACGGCGTCGACGCTTTTCAGCATGGGGAATATACGTGCCAAATGGACGAAGGACATGTGGAAAACCAAGAGAGACGGCAAGAACTATGCAGTAACACTGGATAAGTAACTCCTTGTGCATGCAGGCGATCAAAATAAATTGAAAGCCACGTAATATAGTCAGATTTGCAATAAATAAGTGCTGCCTTATTTCTGCTCATGAATATGTGCGAAGATGCTTGTTCTGTTTTCAAATCATCACCCGCACGCTCCAAATATTTGCAAATAGGGGGAAGCCAGAAAACAGGTGTGCGATAAAAACTGCCCAACATAGGAAATAATAAGAAAACAGACCTTTCGTAGCCCACATACTTTATTCTTTACGCTTCAAACTTTTTTTTAACCATTCATAAAGATGCACGACGGGGTCATTTTCATATAGTGGGAGGACAGGCATGTTAGCAATATATAGGCACCAATGGAATGCTGGCGAACTTTGAGCACACTTTACATTCCTTTAGATCGTTAGTTTGCTTAGAATCGTCACTCATTTTTACATACCTTCCATGCAACAGAGGTTTGGGCCTGAAATAGAGCAAAGTTTAACATCGTTCAGTGGTAAAGAAAAATGCTGTAACTAAAGCAATTACACTTTTACTATAGACGCTTTGCAGCAGCTGTGCATGGACGCCGCCATAACTGACCTTCAGTTTTTGTTTCCTCTTATTTCGTTTATTTCACTTCATCATTACCATAGCAGGCCAGGTTATTGCCATAGTAGATTCAACTGTGTCCTTTTCTGAAGCATCGGCCTTTGTAGAGAATCGTCAACTACCGTTTCAGTTGCTCGGCATCTCGGTAAGACAAGAGAAGGTCAGCAATGGCGGCTGTAATTTGGCGCGTGTGTAAAGCGTCTATACCAATAAAGGTACGTACTATCTGGTACAACCGAGATAACAAAAGTTATTCATGTTATTTTCCTGCGAAGAGACGAAATTCACGCGCGTTTCCCCATAGGAATACACAGGGAGGCTGGAACTGTAGACTGCATGCTGTCTGCTTCAATTTGCAACCGGAAGTTCCATAGACACTAGCGCCAGCTGAGCTTCTAGCGTTTATTGTAATAACTCTATGCCCTTTGGCTGCGAGCTAGACACCGTACCGACCAGGCCACGCAGGGCACGCTTGCACAGCTTGGGAACAAGCGGGGGTTTATATGTTTCGCCATCGCGTTCCACTTTTAAAGGCGAAGCTTAAAGGGGCACTGACACATCAAAATTATATTTTTTTTATTATCCAAAACGATTGAAAACAATGCCGAGATATTACCCTCGAAATTCGAAACTTGGCAATTCAGTATTTGTGAAGTAAAAAACAATTTCCAAATGCTGAATTCGCAGTTCCCGCGCGATCCGCGCCGGTGCGTTGACGTCAAATATTGCGGAGTCCTGAGAGTCCACTTTCTTTCACGACTCCGTACTGTTGCCATCGTGACCCAAAGCGAGGAGGAAAGGAGCGGCAGATGAGGGGCCGGTGGACCGAAAAAACTAGTTTTGAGCGGTGTCGCCTACTTAGGCGACACCAAGGGAGGATACAAATCTAGGAGACGACATCTCCTGCTTCGATTCACTTCGCACTTCGATTCTTGGTATTTCAAAAAGGAGGGCCGTAGTGCGTTCGCAGTTGCATTAAAAAACATGTTTTACGATTGCCGTTATTAAATGTTATAGAGATGTCGCCTACAAAGCTTCTAAATGTCATGATTCTTGACATCACGAATAAAAAGAAGCGAGGAGGCGAGAGGCGGGAGAGGAGGGCGCCAAAAATAAAAAGGCACGCGCGCGTGGGAAAATTTTTTTTTTTTTGCGATGAGGTTTTTTTTGCTTGTTTATGACTACTACTTGCATGGTTTTAGACAATAAAAAAAAATATGACCCCTGGGGTGTCAGGCCCCTTTAAGCGTCCTCCAAATAGTACATGCAAAGGAAAAAAAAAATTTTTTTTTAAACAGCTTACATAGAAAAGGAATGTCATAAAACAGGTTTACAACGAAGAAGAAAACATTTTTAGAGCCATATTTACGGCGTGAAACAAATTTTTAATTAAATTTTTAATTGGAAAATGAAAGTTTAATAAGGTTGTAGGATATTTTTTTATCTTGGCCTAATATTTGGGGAACTAGTTAAGTGATGTCTATCGGTGCATTTAGCCAATTTTGAGGCAAATCGGGGAAATGGAAGGAGTGAAACTGGCCCTTGCTCGCAGGTCGCTTCTTCATCCCCGTCTGCAACTACCTCCTCTTCAACCTGGGGGACCTGTCCGGGAGAGTGGCTTGCGCCTGGCTTCCTCTGGTGAGTCTCGTAGTCCCGCCGGAATGCCTCAAACGCGTCTCCCTGCCAGGCATGCCAGGCAATGTGCCATTGCCACCTGCGTCTCGCGCCGCTGAACGGGTGCCGCGGTTGCAGGACGAGAAGCGAGGCAAGCTGGTGTTGTCGCTGTCTGCGGGCCGCCTGGTGTTCGTGCCGCTGCTGATGCTGTGCAACGCCCAGCCCCGTCACTACCTGCCGGTGGTCTTCGGCAGCGACGTCGCCTTCGTGGTGCTGATCGCCGGCCTGGCGGTCAGCAATGGCTACCTCTACTCGGCCGCCATGCAGCAGCTGCCCAAGTAAGAGAAGGAACCGGCATTGCGAATGGGGCCTTGTTCGGCTCCACGCTCTTCGCTTTTTTGGGGAGAAGTTCCATCCATTGTGCTCGTACAACCCCATTTTGTGTTACGACGGACTGCGGCGCACACTACGTGCCTCCCCGACCGATCCACCGCTGCAAACGAATCACACGACTACGTGCCCCACTTGTTGCTGCACCCGTTCTGAAGGTTATGCGACATTTGCACGGCATTGGACTTAATTCTGTGACTTGTAGCGTTTGTAGCGTCTTCTGCGGTTCATTGTAAGGTGAAAGATAGCAAAGCAGTGAACTGGAACACTTGGAGTCGTAATAGTTATGGCACGCCAGTAAGGGGGGGGGGGGGAGGGGGTGGAGATTGCTCGCTTTTCTCAATGAACGAGGTCAGTCCCACGTTTTGTGCCTCTTGTGCCGCTATTGTCGTAGTGCCGTCTGCATGCTGGCAGCAGCACCGCAACGGCAAAGACCAGGTAATTCTTGGGAAATTGGGTCCTAACTAAACTAAACTGACAAGAAATATAAAAACAAATACAAAGTGGTCCCCCCCCCCCCCCCCCCCCCCTTCCAAAAGAAATAAAAATTCACAGTGTCTTTTTCACCCAAAAATAAACTATGCATTGGCAAACATTCACTCTCCGCCCAAATGTAGCGTTGGCGGTCTGAACCAGGTGCCGAAGTTTCAGAACTGCTACATTCGAGCCCGGTTATATGTCACACTCGGGTGTTTCAAATTCTTGTTTATATCAAACAGTCCAAACATTCCCTTGAAAATCACATGTAAGAGTATAGGAGCATTGTCTTTTTGTATCCAACTCCCGTGGCAGCGACACTCGATATAGCGAACCAAGCTCACGGGCCCGTTGCTTTTCCTGCGATCCCATTGCGCCGGTGGTGGCGAGCTCATCGCTTGTGTTACGTGGCTGGCAGACTGCCAAGCCAGCATACACACCAAAAGATACTCAATGAACCGTAAAAAAAAAGTGGAAGATGGTTAAAGCAAGGAGAAGGGCACACGTGCGTGCGCAGTTAGGGAGAGCAGGGAGTGCCCGCTCTTGGAACGGTAGTCTGTGCCTTTTCCCCCAACACTGCTGAAGCTGAGTGACTCCTTAACCCCAAAATAAAATAAGAAAAAAAAAAAAGAAAAAAAAAAAAGACCTAGGCAAGTCGAGTGTGTGGACAGCAAGGGTTGTGCAGTCACTCTTTGAACGCCTTATCTTTGTTCACTTTTCTTTTTGCCATTATTGCTCCAATTTTTTTTTTACTTTCTTTTTTTGCTGCCTGAATTTAGTGAGTTTTCTTTTTTGTTGATTGCTTCACTTTTTTCTATGGATCAAGAGATTGTATGCATCTAGCTTTTCCGTTTTTCTTTTTTATTATTATTTTTTGTTTTGTTGCTTTTTCTGTGTGGAGGTCCCGGCAGGCGTGCATGTAGGCAGGCGCGCGTGTAACTGTGCATTGTAACCGGGCTCGGTGCTTGCGGTCTTAGCTCTACTGTATATAGCGGCTCTTGGATGCTCTATTCGGTAAGCTCCCCTTTGTCCCGATTTTCGGTATTAGCAGAGACCCCAGAAAATTTGAACTCGAGCTTAAGGGGGGAGGCTGGTCTTTAACTTCATGTTTTTTATCTTTCATTTATCGTGCTGAAATTAAGTATACTGATGTATTTCTCAGTGGTGATTTGAAATATGCAATTAGTTTTCAGATAGCTTTATTACATCCTGAGTTATCAATAAATTAGTCATTTTAATTAGGTCCTCTTTACGGGTCGTTAGCGTAAAAGTCTTCAGAATATATCAGAAATTTTTATAGAATTGCGTTCCCCGAGACATGTTTTGTGTGGTGATGCTATTTTTGTTGCTTTTTATCTCATACAATAATTTTAATTAATTAGTCTTAAAAAGATATAACCTCCCGTTTTTGTGCAACTTGGTTGCAGATGTGTTTTACCAGTTCAAGGTTGGCGTCCCAAGCAGCCGCACCAATTTGCACTTCCACTCGTTCATTCCCAAAACCTGCACAGACTGGAACCACCTCCCCGCCTCCATTGCTTCAATCACCGACAGCGACTGTTTCAAAAGCGCCATTTGCAACCATTTTTTGTAATCTCCCTGCTGTGTTCATGTTCATGTTTTTTTGTTTTTTTTTTTTTTTGGTTCACCACTCCTTTTTGTAATGCTTCGGCCTTGAGAGTAAATAAATGAAATGAAATGAAAATGTAATATAATTAGATCAGACTTAAAATAGCATCACCGCACAAAACATGTCTTGGTAAATGCAATGCTATAAAAATTTGTGATATATTGTGAACAATTTTATGGTAACGGCCCGTAAGGAGGACCTAATGAAAATTACAAATCTTTTAATAACTCGGGATCTAGTAAAGCTATCTGAAAACTAGTTGCATATTTGAAATCACCACTGAGAAATACATCAGTATTCTAAATTTCAGCAGGATCAATTAAAAATAAAAAACAAAAAGTTAAAGACCAGCCTCCCCCCTTAATTTAACATATTTTTGTATATCAAATTATTGATATATCAAACTATTTTATGATCCCCTTTGAATTCGATATATCCAAGTTCGACTGTAACTGTTTTCTCATTAAAAAGTTAGAAGTGGTTTTTCGTAAATTTCAATGGGAAAATGCTGCCCGTTTTCGGTAACCGGGGCCATTCAGCTCCGTGTATTCGAAAGCTCAGTGGGCTCCATTTTCTCCTTGAAATTTCCAGAAAATCACTTACTATAAATTTTGAAGGAAATAAGGCTTTGTTTAAAAACTTTGGCATCCGGTTTTGACCGCTGGCACTACACTTGGGGCGGAGAACGAGCGTTCAGCGATGCATACTTTACTTTTGCGGTGGCAAAGAAACCTCATACATTTTTCTGGGACACCCGTATGAGGGGTCATGTTCCCATTTACGGCAGAACAATATCTCTATAGAGCTCATCAATGCAATGTTTAATTTGCTTGTTTTTCTCGGCATCATCACTTCTAGCCCCGGAGTGCGAGGGGGTGCCGCTGCTTGCGTAGGGATTACGTTGCTCTCTGTGGCAGGGCGTGTTTTTCGAATGTTCGGCCTCCGGCATGCTTCGAATGCCCAACCTCTGGCACACTTCGAATGCTCGACCTCCGGCACGCACTCCATGCCATCTGTCGCGCTCGACGTGCACGAAACGCCGAAGCGTCGTCAAAGGCAGGAATTTCGCTCCGGAGGCGGGGTTATAATAACGGTCCCGCCTGCCATTCACACCTCGATAGCAACTGTAGGCACGAATCACGGGACCGCTCTCACTCGCACAATTGTCACGCCTCCCTTTCTTGCCTGCCGTACCGCGGCCCGTCGTGCCAAAACGCGAGCATCCGAACTGGCCCTCGTTCCTCGACCGGTCTCTCGAGCCCCGGTTCGTCAAACCACTCTCTTGCCTTCTCCGTTACCCGCAGGAGGGTGGAAGGCTATCTCCAGGAGAAGGCTGGCTTCCTCATGACCCTGTGCACCATGGTGGGGCTGTGCGTGGGGTCCTTCTTCTCCGTCATCCTCGTCAAGCTGCTGTGATCCCACGCACCGACGGGAATCTCGATGCACAACGTGGGCGTCCGTCCGCGCTCCGAAGCTGTTTCACACACGTTCCACCGGGTCCGCGGGAACCGGTGCCTCTTGCCCAACTCCTCTTTCGCGGACCTTGGGAGGCCTCTTTTGTTGGTGCGTGCTCCGGGAGGGACGTCCCCGTCAAACTCTCGACGAAACCTTTGATGTCCGTTTCGTACCACCCTCGGCGAAGGTCACTTCTTTTGATGATGGTTTTTTCTTGTAGTAGTTCGGTCGACCTCGAGCAGAGTGCACCTGCAAGAGGGCTCGTTCCCAAAGCTGGGAATGGGTGCCCGGATGGATCGGTGCTCTCCGTCTCTTGCGTATGCCGTAGACTTCCGTCGACCTTACCGGTCATACTTTTCCACAGCAAGGTGGGTTTATACCTGCTAGACATCGAGGCCATAGTACTAGATGTTTTATGTCACTTGTCGGAGGCCAGTGCAGCATACAACTGAACCCAGTGCTCCGTTCGGCTAGAACTTGCGTCTTCGCCGATCGAACATGAGTTCCTGCCGATCGCCAACGCAGCACTCGTGTCTAATCTGTGCCGGACGCCGGCCTCTGCTAGGCAACATAAAAAATCTACCACTAAGGCTTCGTTATCTAGAACGTGTTGGGTAGACGGTCAAAACTTGCGGCTCTTCTCACAACGTGCCTCTTGACGACGTAATAAGTGTTCCTCTTGTTTGCGAATTTCATTTATTTCGTGTTTGACACGTTTTATCTCTACTGTTTTTCCCTTTTGTTTACACTCCAGGGGGGGGGGGAATAGCTTTGTCACATGGAGTAAGGTGGTTTGTTATTGTTTGATGTGTACACACTGATCACATAGTTAATTGTTGGATCTGCGACGCAGTTTGCATTTATATGGCGTTCGCATTTGTGGTGACAACCTGTTTTTACCTTGTTTTTATTGCTTTATTTGGAGGGTGGTTCTCCCCACGAGGAGTTTTTCATCTCTCAATGACTGAAAGAAAAAAAGATAATCTCTTGTTAGCAACTGATGTTACGGGTGACAATCATCTTTTAGGATGCTGAGATAGCACTTGAGCTTTGACAGATCTGAGTGCAACCTTTGATTAAGGCATCTGTGTCTACTGGAAGGGTCTGTTTACAATGCAAAAGTGCTCTTCCCTTTGGAACCTACCTTTTTACCTAGAGTAAGATCTAATGCAATGCCATCTAGATGGACACCACATTGACTTTGTGATGCGCCACCCAATGTAAGAGAACTTTCTGCAGCCTACTTTTTAAAATGATCTAAAGAATGGGACATGCCTCTTCAGTCTTATAACCAGTCTGCATTTTCTGTTTCCGCAATTTTTTTGCTCGGTGGGCTGCCTTTGGTTCTGTGGGAATCATGCATCACTGGAAAAAATTATGTAGGATGCCAAGCCCCAGGGGCACACAGTGCCATTGCAGCTGTGCCGTGCCTTTTGCTTCTGGATTCAGCCTACTTTGTGAGAAATATAATTACCATAGTTTGCCCAGGGCGCTCTATGGTGTAGGACCGGCCCTGCCTACGGCGTTTTACGGTAGGTGGGTTGCACCGTGGAATTCAGTCTCGTGCTGCTTAATTGTGTTCTAGCTGCAGTAAATTAATTCACTTTTGTAAGGATTGCTCGCACTCTCATGAAGGCAGCAAAGTCAGACATTGCCTGGTGCGAGATACTACATCGTGTTGTTCAAAATTGTGACGATGTAGTACCAGGTATTATCGCAAATTGTCTTGTGCTGATTAAAATGTTCTGCTCTCACTGTTCACTGTATTTGACTGTTGCTCTGCCCGGAGCAAACGTTAGAAGCGCGAGCTCCAAGCTCTATGGTGCGCTCTTGTTATGTGGCCTCCTGTCCTCACAGTTTTCGTTTCAGGTGGAGAGATTGGATGAAAGAGTAGTCTTTGCTTTGTTTCCAACCCCCTGTGCCACATGTGTGAGGGTCTTTGTTTTGTTATTTATTTTGTCTCATAGAACATGTACAGTTTAATAGATGGGACAGATTCTTGAACGATGAAGCGGCTGATATGAAGGGAATAAATAATGCCAATCACACAGTTTTTTGTCACAATGTTTTTCGTCACTTCTGTTTTGATGCAAGCCATCGGGATCAATCAATCAGCCACAGTGCGTTGCATTTCTCTGCACTCCACATATTAACTGCACTCGGATGGCAGCATCAGCAATCGGCTATACCTTCATTATTTCACTTCTGGCTGTACAGGGTATTTTCTACAGGGTGTTGCATCTCATTTGCATGTGTCCTTGTGTGAATGAGGTGGAGGGTGAAGCCATGCATTTGCACGAGTGGTGCTTGCAACATTGCAGAAACTGCACTAGGCTCAAAAATGTTGCATAAACACCAATTTATTCAAGAAAATGTTCTTAAGTAGTTCAGGGAAGTCAGTGCAATAAGGAAGAGGGCTAGTAGCAGTGATGCGATTGCTGCCCAATTTGTCGCAAACCACCAAAGTGCTCACACCGATGCATTGTTACGTTTCACGAATGTGAGTATGTTGCACCAACATTGAGCCAAAAAAAAATATATATATTGCCTGGTTTAGTTGTTTTGTCAAATCAGTGAAGGTGTGACAGCACTTGATGGAGGTTTCAACGAGCAGCAGCACTTTTTTATCGGAATTGAGCAGATATATTTCCCCGCTAAATTTGTTAATTGTTGCATCACGTCAGGTGGCACTCGTGTCACATGACATCACGTGACACTGATGTCACCAACATTATTATGTTACCCAAGTTGTGCAACTTCCGCGGAGGGGAGTACACCCGTCATTCCCTTCAGTCCGCCTCCCGTCGTTTGAAGCGCCATCTAGATTTTCGTTTCAAAACTGATTTTCATAGAGTATGGTAAAACACCATCTAGACGCTGTGCTCTAAACGTGTGTATTCCATAGAATACACTGCGGTTGCCACAGCAGCCGTCCCCCGAAAATGGTGGTACGTCGAATGATGGGAGGCGAGCCGAGAGGGGAAAGGAAAGGGGGGGGGAGGTACTGCTCTTGCAAGCGGTATAAGCAGTTCCTCAACTACGTTGGATGTCAGACGACACCATGACGTCTCGTAACATCATGGCGTCATGTGACACCATGATTTTCCCACAAAATTTAGGGGGGAATTGATGCCGCGTTAACACTGACGTCGTGGGATGCATGGGCGTACCAACCAGTGGGGGGGGGGGGGCGGCGGCAAGGGGGACACTTACCCCCCCCCCAGCTCTCAGAGTGGGAGGACAAGGCATGTGTTTTGCCCCCCCCCCCCCTGAAACAGCTGCCACTGGGCAGGGCAAACAATGGCCGTCGGCGGCCAAGGTATACCAAGGGCACCGCACCCCGGCCTTGAGGGGGGGGGGGGGGGGGGTTCCCCCCCCCCCCCCCCCCCAGGGTCTGGTTTGCCCCCCCACTCAAACACAAGTTAATACGCCACTGGTGGGATGTCAGGTTATGTGACACCATAAAGTCGTGGTTCCACGTGACACAATGACTTGAAACAGATGCCAATTTCCCTGCAAAATCTAGTGGGGGAACTGATGTCTTGTGACATTATGCGGTCAGACCAACGCAAGCAAGAAAGGCTTGCGAGTCGTTCCTATATGAAGCTAAACCGAGGAACTATTACCCGAGACTACCCAAGACGAGGAAAGGAGAAAAAAACGCAAATAAAGGAGGACATTCATGCACAACTTCCTTTACCCTTCTTTTTATGTGCCTTGTTCCTTTCGATGGTTTCAGGTTTTGGTTGTGCTTACAATTCATCAGCTCACCTGTACGTGCTACCGCCTTTCAGTTCACTATATGCATGTGTGAATCTTCTGAACTTTCTGAGCCCTTTCACATTCGCAATTTAGCTCGCACCCTCGTGCAGTGCGTACGAAGCATGCTCAAAACAAGCTCTCATATTTTTTTTTTTTTTTTTAATTTTTCCTCTTACTGTTAGTTCCTCCCAGTGGCAGAGAATGGGTCACGGGATCAAAAATTAAAGACGCAATACTTTTTTTGTAATGCCGAATTAGAACACAGCTCTTGAGGAGGAAGAGGAGGGGAGGGTACCAAGTGGAAAATATGCCCCTCCCCTCCCCTCCTGCTCTCCTCCCATAATGTCTCGCTAAATTGAATGGCAAATTTTTCCAATAAATTTAGCGGAAAAATTTTGCCTCTAAATTTAACAAAAAGTTTTAGAATTTAGCAGAAAAATATTACCCACTAGATTTAGTGGGTAATTTTTTTCTGCTGAATTTACTAATGAAATTTTTCTGCTAGAGTTAGCGGAAAAATTTTTCTGCTAAATTTAGCGGGGAAATTTTTCCGCTAAATTTTGTGGGAAAATCTTTCTGCTGAAAATAGCGGAGAACTTTTTCCACTAAATTTAGCGCGAAAATGTTCCCCTAAATTTAACAGAAAAAATTCTCTAAATTTATCAGAAAAATTTCCCCGCTAAATGTAGCGGGAAAATTTAGCAAAAATTTCCCATTTAGCAGGAAAGTTTTGCGAAAAGTTTCCTCTAAATTTAGCGGGGAAATTTTCCCATAATGCAACGCGCGGTTACGCCGACGCCGCACGACAACTACGCCTCACAAACCAACGCGCTTCTGAGGGAGCGCAGTCAGCGCAGTGCCGCGGCATCGCTGATCTTGGATAAAAAGGGGGAGAACATTGTTTGCTTTGTTCAAATAATGGCCGAAATACTATTCAATTTGCTCTTGCGTGCACATTGGTAGAAGCCAATTCATGAGAAACTCAAATAGCGTAACTTGTGTATCTTAATCGGCATGACCCCCTACGTCAAGATGTAAAATAATAATATAAAAGGAATATATATACTGTTCTTCTATGGTAGGTGACATAAAAACTAGCATCGTCAATCCTCTTTAATTGTTTTATTAAAAAAAATGGAAGACCGGCATTTGCTGTAGTTAACAAGGCACACAATGAATTCTTCATCGAGGTTTACTGACAGGCGTCCCAAACCTTCGCAGACCGAAATGTCCTCTCCAAAACGCCCCACAGCTAAACCGAAACTGCTGGAGTCCGTCGCTTTCATACCAGTTTCGGTTTTGTACGGTCGTACGCAGTACTGCAGCAATTTAGTCTGGTAGACTGAAATCCAACGCGTTCTAAACATATGAGGTCAAACTTTACTTTTACCTTGTTGAATTCATACCTAATATGCAACGGTGTCGACGCTACTGGCCCGCGCCTCCTCTGGCGCGAGCGCGTGGCTTTGCCTGTGGTGTCGTTCACGCGAGCGCGCGTTCGAAGATCAACGATATCAACCTCATGCTCGCACCAGTAGCTTTGGCAGCGTTGTACGCGAAGTATGACACTGAGTATAGTTGGTTCAACGTGACAGAAGAGGAGATGAACATCACTGTCCCTCCGTGTCCTCGTCTGTCTTGCGAGCGCGTAGTTGGTCATCCATTTCAAAGTTGCGACGAGTCACTCGCTGTAGATGAGAATTTTAACCAATGCAGTACAACCGCCAGCCTGGGCTCTCTAACGTACACCAAGCAGTAGTGGTACCCCTCCGCTCCGACTACGGTAGTGGTTTTGGCGTACGCCAAAATCAATACCGTAGTCATTTCGGCGTACGCCATAGTCAATACCGTAGTCTTTTTCGCATACCCCAAACACACTACCCTTACGCCAAATTCAATACCTTGAATAACGTCGGTTCAGCAGGGTTTGAGCTCCGCATTCCGCTAAAACTGGCGGAAGTAACTTTCTGCAGCATAACACCCTGATTGTTTGTTGTTGTTTGTATGAGCGGCGGAACGCGCGCGGCAGGCGTTAATTATTTGTGATTAGCGTTGATACGGCTGACGGCGCGCAGAGCTGAAGGGCACAAGCAAGGAAGCTTGGAGTGATTCTGTGTCGATGTGATTTGACATCGCTTCTTTCTGGTTTTTCGATCATGGTGCAAATGCAGGTGCCCGACTCCCGGGCGATTCGAAGGCAAGAGTGGTAGCCTGTCCGCTGGTCTTTCAATCGCATGCACTGTCGTCATTTTGGGCACAGCGGAAGAAAATAAGACGTTCACTATTTTAAATAGCGTGCGATCGGCCTGTCTAGGTTCTGGCGACACCGTTTCAGGCTGTAGATGAGAAAATTTAGCCACTACAGTACGACTGCTAGCCTGGGGTCTGTGCCTCACAACAGATCGAAACGGGTAGGGGTGAGGATCCCTGGCAGCGGGACCTTTCGCCGTACGAGCTGCGGTGCGCTAACACACTCGATTTCCGATACCCCCTTGGGTCACAGCGCTTGCTGAAAGAAGTTTGGATCGTTTTACGCAGATTTTGCAGTGCGTACGAGGCGCGCAACAGCTACGTACTACGTCCTAGATGCCCAAACTGAGGCTCGCTACTTGTGCGCGGCTGTCGTGATCTGCAGCTGGGAACAGTATGCTCGCCATGAAAACGTTGCAGTGAGAAGTACGGAAAAGTAATACTATAAAAGTATAGTATATAAAACTGGCTTACATTGTCACTGAACATATGGAAATAAAACTGATTAGGAATGCCGATCAGATGGGTGGGAATGTTATATAATGTGCTCAAGTTATGTGTGGCGTCACGTCGGCACAGGAATTCAAACTGGTTGCCCCCACCCCCGCTCCTAAATTCTTCCAATGCTGCTGGCAGCTTTTTTATATATATATATATTTATTGTAACTTTAAAGGCCCCAACAGGAGCATTACATAAGGAGTGTGTGTGTGTGTGTGTGGGGGGGGGGGGGGGGGGGG